GTTTCTTTCTGTAACATGCACACAGTGTAAGACTGAACAAATGCATCTGTAAAATGCACACAATATAAGACTGGACAAATGCATCTATCTGTAACATGCACACAATACAAGACTGGACAAATGCCTCTTTCTGTAACATGCACACTATATAAGACGGGATAAATGCATCTTTATGTAACATGCTCACAATATAAGACTGGACAAATGTATCTTTCTGTAATATGCATACAATACAAGACTGGACAAATGCATCTTTCTGTAACGTGCATACAATATAAGATGGGACAAATGCATCTTTATGTAACATAACATAATACAAGACTGGAGAAAATGCATTCTGAAGCTAAAAGTTTATTAATACATGATTCACTGTACAAACAATTTCAGTGTAACAAATATAAAGGTTTCCATGAACAGAATGTACAAAGTTGATAAGTTACAAACTAACTAATACATTTGGTAGCACCCACACACACATTCTTGAAATCAAAGTTTAGCAGAGTACACTTTTGGTAGAGCTCCCACACACATTTCACACATCCTTGAAATCAAAGTTTAGCAGAGTACACTTTTGTTACAGCTCCTACACACATTTCACACACTCTTGATATCAAATTTTAGTGGAGTAAAATGAAAAGATCCTTTTCACATCCTTGACCCATCAGGCATTTAGCGCTAGAACTACAGGGTGTCCCATCAGTTTTAATACATAGGAAAAATCAACATGACCAACACCATTACAACCATAGGTCCAGCAGTATTATTTAGATGTGAAGGACATGCATCCAAAACAGCGGTAGACATGCTTGTTAGTCTTAACTCTTGAGTCCAGGGTGGCCCATAGCTCTCCATGTCTGGCGGTTCGTTGCCACCTGTTTTAGGTTTTAGATGTTTGTTAGACCCATGGTTAAGCCGTCCCAGATAATGGTTCTACGCAGGGTCTCTCTAAGTCTTTGCCGTTTTAGTCTCTGTTCCGGTGTCCATGTGAGGGCTTGCTGGGGGAAGAGTTGTTTTATCCATTCTAAGTGCATGGTCGATCTAGTACTTGACGGCGCTTTCATATAAAACTGGATACATTACGTTGCTTTGTCTCTTGTCTTATTTACGTACTGGATCTGAAATCTGTCCAGCAGAGATTTAGTATTCTTGTAAGACACTTGTCCTCACAGTAATAGCAGTCATGTAGAAAAATATATAAAATTATTTGAAAAGAAAAAACCCAGTGTATTTTTCCTATGAAAACACATTTTGATACGTGTCCTCCTGAAGAACACATGTAAGCAAAGCTGGAGTTGTGCTTATAATGGCATTAGTGATAGGTTTTTTTCTCGGTGTATGGAAACTTACGAGACACCCTGTAGATCAATGGGTACTCTACAGGTGATGTGATCAACTTCATGCCAGCCATCTTCACTTCCTAGGACTGCACCTACGTGGAAGACTCTACCATCTATGCCCTCTTTTCTATCATTATTTTCTAGTTATATAGCACAATATAGGTCTAGCACTGTATACACAATACGCCTGAAGATGTGGAAAAGGGTCCTTTACTTTATACAACAAAAAAGATAGGTTCTCGTGGAGGGGGACCCAGTTGCGAATCCTCTGTAAGATAATGGAAGTTTTTCTCTGTTGTGTTAAAAAAAAGGCATAACCTCCACAGTTCGTGGCCAGGCACCCCTAAATCCTCACTCAAGATCCCCCTGTCTTGTTTATTTATCCATTATCCAAATTTATAATTATATCACATAGGGCTGGCAGTCTGTTTCTTTCTTTTTGTTCTATCCTGTGCAATCACTTCAATATCATCGATAGAATCCAGTCCACACCTTTGGCTTCTCTCATCAACATTCACTTTACAGTTTTTCTTAGACATCTTCGTTTCATCAATTTCCCATTTCAGTACCTGTTTGGTGATTCTCTGTCTTTTCTCACAATGTGTCCAATATGTCATAATAAAAATTCAAACAACTTGACATTCAACAAATATTTGCTTCAGAATCCAAACACTGCCTTGGAAACTGAATGCCCTACTCACGTAACAGCACTGCCTCGGAAACTTAATGACCTGCATGTTACAGCACTGCCTTGGAAACTGAATGCGCTGCATGTTTCAGCACTGCCTCGCAAACCTAATGCCCTACATGTTACAGCACTGCCTTGGAAACTGAATGCCTTGCACGTTATAGCACTGCCTTGAAAACTTGATGCCTTGCACGTTATAGCACTGCCTTGAAAACTGGATGCCTTGCATGTTACAGCCATGTGCTATCACATAGCACTGCCAATGTTTCATTATGTTTGTGTATGCTGTGCCAAATGCATCTTATATGATTAACATTTTCTGTACAACACTTTGCGAATTAGTATGGTTGGTAAAAAGTGTAGAGTTTAAATTTAAAAAAAAAAAAGGTAAGAGAAAAGCTGTTATGGCTAATATGCCATTAAAAAGAGATTATACTGCAAAGCATGACAGTGGTATCCGTGTATGTGAATTTGCTACAATGTTTGATATGCCTAAATTTACCCTGGAACAGTTCAGTTTAGTTCCCATTTTTTTTCCAGTGGAAAAAATAGCATCAGAACTCAAATGGTGTGGAATCTAGTCACCGTCTTTGAGCAGAATTTGTGTGAATTCCAAGGTGCCATTGTATATAAATTCTTAAGAAGCCATGAACTTCTGGAATTCTTGTTCTCTTTCCATTCATAATTTCGTTTTGTATTATGAGAATTCATTAAAAAAAAAAGCTGGGAATCTCTAACATTCAGGTTCTCTTTTCAGTCATAACTACCACACTGAAAAATACTGAAAAGACAATAGGGTATTCAAGAGCAATAGTATACTCCCTGAGTGTGAGTGTCAATAGCATATGAAACATAAGAATACATACGAAACACAAGAATACAATGTACAGGACAAGCGTAGCTTTCAGTGTTGTATGTCCTGTGAAATAAAAGCACACACAATGGTCAGATAAAGTATCTCATCTCACCTCCCATTACAACTCTCACTGGTAGTATTCAAAATTCCAATACACCAAATTTAATGGACAGTCCAAGCGCTCTAATTAAATTAAATAACAAATATTGTGAAGCACAACGGTCACACATATCCGTCCTATCTAACTGAGCTAATGAATAAAACTGCTACAGGGTTCTCCACCAGCCAGCCACCTTGCAGTACTCAAAGTGGCCACAGTGAATTTCAAACACCTGTCTCACAAACTTTCAGTGGCCTGAGTATTTTACGCCACCCTCTGTCAGTGCGCTCATAAAAATTCACGTGCACTCACATTGCCGTTGACCTTTGGCACACTCAAATGAGCCAGCACAAAACACACTTCTTATATTCAATATTTACAGTTCTTGCAGTCATTGTCAAGCCTTCAGAGTTTACACTTTGTATTTTCAATTCTACATTCATAGTTTTTTGCAGTACATATTACACAATCTACATTCAGAACTCTGGCAGTTCAAAAACTATATTCTGCAAACAATTTTATACATTTCACATAGAATAATCCACATTCTATACTAATAATAATACACTAAAATACATACAACATATTCTGCATTCAACGCACTGTAGCTACTATAACATACACTACACATTAGCATACTGCATTTGATATAACCTAATCCGCATTCAGTGAGCTCTGCACTTCACACCATGTTGAACCATACTCCACATTCAGTTGTTCTTGCAATTCACACTTCACTCAGTGTTCTTGCACTGCAAATCCCCTATTATATATTCCATAACCTTGTAGTTGAGATTAAAGATACTGCATTCAGTTCACAGCATATATTCTAAATTCTCACTAGATGAAACAATTTGTTAACAGCTTAATAGTATACACAAACTTCCCATCACAAATTTTCAAGCTGGGTGATTCCATCTCTTCTTTCTATCACTTTGATTTAGCCTGTATCTGCAAGCTTTACTTCACTCTAAATTTAGCCTGTATCTACAAGCTTCTCTCCTTCTCTCTGATTTAGCCTGTATCTACAAGCTTCTCTCCTTCACTCTAAATTTAGCCTGTATCTACAAGCTTCTCTCCTTCACTCTAAATTTAGCCTGTATCTACAAGCTTCTCTCGTTCACTCTGATTTAGCCTGTATCTACAAGCTTCTCTTGTTCCCTCTGATTTAGCCTGTATCTACAAGCTTCTCTCGTTCACTCTGATTTAGCCTGCATCTACAAGCTTCTCTCGTTCACTCTGATTTAGCCTGTATCTACAAGCTTCTCTTGTTCACTCTGATTTAGCCTGTATCTACAAGCTTCTCTCGTTCACTCTGATTTAGCCTGTATCTGCAAGCTTCTCTCCTTCACTTTGATTTAGCCTATATCTGCAAGCTTCTCTCCTTCACTCTGATTTAGCCTGTATCTACAGGCTTCTCTCTTTCACTCTGATTTCTTCTGAAACCAGGCAAAGATCATTCCAGACTCAGCGGTTTCAGGATTTTTAGGTATAATTTTTTTTAGTGCTACTGTAAGAGACACCACGTAGTCTTCTTCTTCTTTCTTCTTTGCATTCACCAGCTGTAAACTCTGGTGGAAAGTTCTGGCTGTTAATCCACTCCTGGACTGCAGTCCTGTTTCCTAACCTGAGTATTGCATGTGCATCCGTGTGACAGATCTGACACATTTATGTGCAGACTGTTGGTTCCTTGCCTTTCAGGCAGATGCATTCCAACTTCGAAGAAAACTCCCAATTAGTCGACTCTTACAACACGCTACTGGGTAGGCAGTGGGTCCAATCTTGTTTTCCCCATAATAGGGCCCCGGAACCCACACAGGGGACACCATGTAGTGAGTACCAGCATTTTTGTTTAGACAAAGTGGTGAGTACCGGCACCTCTGTTTCGGGGAGGGGGAGGGGGGAGCACTGCAGTTTACAAGCAGTTTGTTAATATTACTGTTGTTAGTTCCCATGTGAGTTGGCAGCCATTTATGTTTACACAAGAGATCCTAACTGGAGAATGCTCTCGGATATTTTTCATACTAAAGATACGGATCCTGCAGGCAGACTGCTGTTGATCAGGCTGTAATAGCGGATGTCATTTACAAACCTCTGTACCGATTGAGTGAAGGAGGGCAGATCCTGAAAATGACAATGAAAATCAATATTAATAAGGCAGGGAACAAAATTATGATTAAATATGACACAATGATTAGATAGCCACGTATTGAGGACAGAGAGAGATTAGGAAACATCGTGACAGCTGGAAAGATCAGTGGATAAAGAGGTAGAGGCAGACTAAAAGAGACGATGCTGGATGGGCTGAAACTATGGCATGGGGGGGGGGGGGGGGGGGGGGTTATAAGGGGGTAAACATCAATAGAGAGCTGTTCCAGGCAACCAGAGAGTGTGTTCTGTGGAGATGCATGAGCGCCTACGCCAGCTGGCAGGGCACATGATGATGATGACTGATTAGATTGGGAAGTGTGGAGTTTGTCTGTGTCAGATATTTAGATGAGGAGATAATGTCCAAGAGTTGGGCATAGGAGACTTAAAAAACTCTTGTTTATCAAGCTTGTGTCCTGAGCACGTTTCTGTATGATAGTGAATACTGGGTCAAATTACTTGCATCAGGAAAAACAGTTAAACAGCCTTCCTATGTGATGTCTACAAAGAATACTTGGCATCAGGTGGCGAGACAAGATCCATCAATTATCTTCAATGAGTAAGTTTACAGGACGTCACTCTTGTCATAGCACACCTAATAGTCTCTGTTTCTCTAGCCAATTCTCCAGCCCTATGTGCTTTCATAGCCAATGTATCTTTATTGTATCTACCACCATGGAAGATTGCTTCTGCCTTGTTTTCTGCAAACTTCACCCTCCATCACTGTTCTCTCCGGACCATCGTTAGGTTTAACATGGCCAAATACCTCAGCTTTCTAGGATGATGCTGTTTCTGAGCCAATTCTTCTCGACGGGTCAGATCAAAACAAGATTACAAACACTGAAATACTGGGAAGAGCAGGTATCACAACAGTTTTCTCAATGCTCAATTTTCGAAGGCACAGATGGCTAGGTCACCCTTGGAGGATGGTAAAGTCCCTGAGGACATTCTCTACGGTCAATTACAGATGAAAGGCAAGATGTCAGGGTCTGCTTCTCCTATGATTTAAAGATGAGTGCAAATGTGACATGAAGGATACAGATAGTGAGGTTGCCTCATCAGAAGAGGATGCCAAAGATCACACTGCATTAAGGGGGTAAATTAAGATGGGACTAGGGACAAAGGAGATAAGGACTGCATAATGGTTATCAACTGAGCACCTGATAAGATAGCCAAGAGTGCTTCTGAAATCGCATGCATATTTTGTGGAGGATTCTTCCTTAATACAAGCTGTATCTTTCTAGTCACACTCACTCCTCAACCCCTACCATGGGCTGTGACTACCATGCCTCCTAAAGCATAATGAAATACTGTCATGTGACAAATGGAAAGGTTCTGACAGTATTGCTTAGGTCCTAAAATGTTAACAATTAAGAAAAATATAAATAAATCTTTGCCTCTTTCTCAAGTGTATGTACACGCAGAAATATAACAAGAAAACATACCCTGTCTGTTTTGAAGTTTTTTGCCAATACTGATTTCTGGTTGTTATCTATTCCTTCCACGGATGTCAAAAACTGAGGGAGAAAGTCACTGAAAAACACATCAAAGTCCACAGCAGCCATATTGTATACAGATATAACTATCTCCTCCTGCAGAAGATCATGTGACTTTTGTACCAACACTTGCAACAGCACTTTCAGAAACTGCTGGCTCATCACCTCTCTAAAGATTTGCTGAAAGAAGAAAGAAAAGACAGTTAATACTGATTTAAAGGCAAGAGAACTGACCTTATTGTTGCAGGGATTTATCCCAGATGGCTTGGTCTGTCTGCGCAGTGCAGTTAGTCATGTACGAGAGTGTTGCACAAACTCCATTAACTCAAGCAATGACCCTGACAGCTATCTCTTAAACTCCCGCACTCTCAAGACAAGAAAGTCCCTGTGTGGGTTCTGGGGCCCCGCTGCGGGGACAAAACAAAATACATACTGCTCCCTAACAAGTATGTCAAGAGTCAACTAATTAGGGATGATTTCTCTGTAGTGAGAATGCATATGCTTGAGAGGCAAGGAACCAGCAGTTTGCATGCAAATAAGCCAGATCTGTGAAATGTATGCGCACCCAAAACTCAGGTTGTGGAACTACACCAAAGTTCAGAAGTGGACGAACAACCAGAACTTTCAACTGGAGTTTACAGCCAGAGAATGTGAAGAAGAAACCAAGGCAAGAGGCCTGAAATCAAACACACAACTCTCAGAGCAGGGGGCAAATGGCTCAACCACTTCCCAACAAAGACTTCTTTAATATTTTTTTTTAAATGCACAATTGATCACAATGAACAAATAAGTGAATCCTTCCTGCTGAAACATAAAATGTACTACATTCCAAAGGTAAACGCAAGGTGACGACCATGTCCTTTTGTTGGCATAATTCTGGACTGAACCGGTTTATAGCTGTTGCTTTCATGAATCGCAATAATCTGAGTGTTACTAAGGTATAAAATATTTGAAATGCACCATTCTTGTTTACAACGTGCCCAGAATTAAAATTATGGCGTGCATTGGCAGATAGGTGATTAAAAACAGTATTTTTTTTTTTTAATGATTAAGGTACCTCCCCCCCCCCACCCCCTTTAGACTATCTTTTCTGTTGAGAGGAAATCTGATTTCTGGTGTTGAATATTGCGATGGGCCCCACTGCTATTAAGACTGGCAGCAAAGTTCTGCAACTGCTGGTGATTAAGCTCTAAGACAACTTGCTGGATGGCGAATTCAAGTTCCGACATTTCTTACTTACAGAAGGTGATTAATGCTTTCATGCCAAAGGGAAATCCTCTACTTACAGAAGGTGATTAATGCTTTCATGCCAAAGGGAAATCCTCTACTTACAGAAGGTGATTAATGCTTTCATGCCAAAGGGAAATCATCTTCTTCTTCTTCAACCCTTAGCTCTGTTCTTATGCTAAAACATGCTATCCTGTATGCTACAGCTCCGGTACTGGAATCACTATAGTGTAGTGACTGGATGCTATTCTGCAGATCCTAAAGTCAAGGGTTCAAATCCAAACACAGCTGGACTTTTTCAAAAATCGCCTTGGCACCCAGGTCTACCCAGCCTTAATTAAATGGGTACCAGGTAAAGTCCTGGGAAGTGAAGGTGGCCGGCATGATGTTGACCATATCACACACCGAGTGATGACTGGTCTATAAAATATAGACTAGTTCTTTATGCCCAATACGCCTGAAGGCTTGGATTAGGGTCTTTCTCCAAAAATTTAATGTAGTTTACTCCATCTGCTTCCCATATCATTTATCTCTGCCTCCAACTCTCTTCTCTGTGCTTTAGGCATCATCTTTTAGACTCTCGCGTGCAAATCGGAAGGTTGGCGGTTTGCTCCCTAGCGGAGCCGGACTTTTTTAAAAAATGACCTTGACTCCCAGGTCGACCCAGCCTTGAGTGGGTACCGGGTGCAGTCCCGGGAAGTAAAGGTGGCCGGCGTGATGCTGACCACATCTTCCTTACTACTTGTTTTATAACTGGGAGATACTGTTACAAGTAAGATTATCTTCACAGCACTATGAACATGAAACAGGATAAGTAAGATTATCTTCACAGCACTAAGAACATGAAACAGGTGCACAGATTTCTCCTTCAACACAAACATCACCACTTATAGTGCCAGGCCTATGCTAGTTAACAAGACTTCTTTTACCTCCGGTGTGCCTTTCATTTCTGGCTGTGCTGATCTTTATTTCCCAATTCTCACATTCTCAGCAGTGATGTGGACACTCTGCTTCAAAAATCTCTGAATGTTCTATCCCTCTAAGGGCATCAAGAATGCTGGCATCGATCGGCCTAGGATGGCCATTTGCAACTAAAGCAGAACCAGCAAATCCATCAGCTCTTTCACTGTAAACAACACTGGCCAGCTCTGGGACAAAGATGAAGGTAACTCTATGCACAGATGAGATTCTCTATGACTCATCCACTGTCTGCATCTGGAGCCTGCCTCGACCGATCGGGCGGATCATACTCAAAGAATCCCTCAGGACACACAACACACGTGGGAATAGCCCTGTGAATAGCCCAGCCAAAGCTTGTGTCACTGCCATCATCTCCATTGTCATGCTGCTAGTAGTCACTGAGAAGGCACCGCTAGCTTCCTGGACTGTTCTGACTGCAGAGCAAGCTGTGAATGCTGATGCACTTTTGGGTCCTCATACCACGAATCCATCTGTATAGATCAGCACATCTGCCTCATCCGCACTGTCACTGATAAGCTCGTGGATCTCTGGCATTGACAGCTATAGAATTCTGCTCACAGCAACTTCTATCCAGCATGACAAATGTGGGAGATACTGTGCTGGTACCATGGTGGTCTCATTATTCTAAAAAAACACATTTCTGAAGCTTCTATAAACATTCTCACTAATCTGCTGATATCCATCATGACAACTGTGGGAGATACTGTGCTAGTACCATGGTGGTCTCATTATTCTAAAAGAAACACATTTCTGAAGCTTCTATATTACATGATTAGCTGCTGACGTGCCATGATTATTCCATAGTGTGGTACACCATTTTTCTGTTCTTCTTGCTTCTTCCATATGTTGTTTTCGCCTCAAAGGTTCGTGTTTCCACTCTTCTGGCCGCCTCAACCACAGACACATCGTGCTGTTGTAGAGTCTTTCTGATGTTATCTTTCCATCTTGTTTTTGGTCTACCTTGTGTCTACACCCTTCTCCTCTTTTCGTATATGCCTTAAACAGTATGGCGTCATAAAGCATTCTCAATAGGTGGGCAAACCATTTGATGTAAGTGGGAAAACCATTCAATGTATACGCTATTTACATGTCTTAAAACATCTGGTATAGGTCTTTGGTTTGTAAAGTGTTGCAATGCATTGCAGGTTTATAAAAGCCAACCTAAAAAATGCCTTGGCATACCTTGTTGTACAACTTCCATTTGAAGTGTAGTTGTTCCAGAGATTCCAGGTTTTGTCTGAAAATACTTATATCTGTCTGTAAGAACGACTGCCCATATGCCTGAAATGAAACAATTACGTTCACTGAGAATATTGAGACAACATAATCTACAATATCCTGATATATGTCTGTAAGAAAGATTGGCCATAAACATGAACTAAAACAATTATATTAAGAGAGTATCGGAGACAACATAAACTATAACATCCTTTAATCTGTATGAAAAATTGGCCATATGCCTGAAATTAAAAAAAAAAACCCATTATGTTCACTGTGAATATCGGAGACAACATAATACCTCAATTGGCACAGTAACCTGCCGACTGCACATGCACTTTCACACACAAACAAATTGAAAAACTGCATCCTCCTCCAAAGCAACAACAACAACAACAAAAAAACACACACACACACACAAAATAAATCACAAAAACTGCATCCTTTTGACTGCACATAGTCCACAACACACAATAAAAATGCACAGCAAAGAACTGCACAGCACACAAAACTAAAAAGTGCACAGCAAATAAAATGCAAAATTACAAAACTATCCACCCCCTGAAATATTGGACTGTCCAGTGACCAGTGAATTTCCCCTGTTTGTAGTTGGCTATTCAGAAAGTACTGAATCATTTACCTGATAAGTAAAGTGTTTCACATGACAAGTCATATTTCTCACCTGGCAAGTCAAGTAGAATAATTTATCTGACAAATCAAGTCTCTCACCTGACAAGTCGAGTAGAATCATTTACCTGATAATACAAATAGGCTAAAGATTTTAGTGTGTTATTTATTACAAAACATACAGTTAACCTTCCCTGAATATGAAACTTATTTTGGTAACATTTTAAACTACTCACATTTAGGATGTAAACCCAACGGAGGTAGCATGAAGGTGGGAAAACATAAAAATATCCTCATGAACAAGATATGCAAAACAACAACAAAAACCTACCTGCAGAAGTGAGATAAACTGTGCACTATTTTCTAACCCATCTCCTGATTCCTTCAAAACATCAAGGACGGATCCTTTGAAAAAGTACCTCCAGTTGTTGGCAAGGATTTCATGCAAGAGGTGATACAAGGCACTCTTCATGTCAGGAGATGGTCTCTATATAGGAAATGTAAGAAGATCAATTAGAATAATGGTAAGCCAGAAAATTATAAAATTTTGCAATTTCCACAGATATATAATTCTTCTTTATGTCCATGCCATGTGGTGTGTGCAATAATTTATGTCTTGTGTAGTGCCAATCATTTCCTATGCAAAATTTCTTCTATGCCATGATGCCAGACTGTCCAGAATTATTCTCTCTCACCTGCCTCAGCTTCTCTACCATTCCAACGTTACTGACTTTGAAGATAATTATGCACTTACTGCATTTGTGGACCGGCTACAGTGATTACTTTGCGAAATTATTCAACAGTGCTTGGCAAGCAATCAACCCCCCCGCAACAAGCATGTCAGAGGAGTCAATGAATTGGGGGCTTCCTTCGAAGCTGGAGTGCAACTGCTGAGCAACAAGGAAACAACCAATTAAACACACAAATAAGCCAGTAAAACGGATGTACACACAACTCAGGTCCTGGCACAAAGCCAAAGTCCAAATAGATGAACAAGCAGGTCTTTCTGCCAGAGCTTACAGCCGGTGAACAAAGAAGAAGAAGAAGATTTTAAGGTTAATTAGTTGCATGTCCTCTAAATGAATCTGCAAACCAACTCCAGCCATTACTGGCTGTTGTGTGGTATCCACGCCCATCACACAATGAGTCACTTGGTCATCAGCTGCTGCTGACTGCCCGATCAGATCCTTACACCTCTGCTGGTCAGAAGCAATGGACCTGATGTTTGCATGTCTGACACCTATTCATTCAGCAAAATTCTGGTATTTTTGGTTTGCCTCATCTTCTCTTCCCCTTTATCAAGCCCTGCAGAATAAATTTCAAGAGGCTGGTAGATCTGATTACATGTCTGTACTATTACTAGGGAATTTTACATTCAGTATTCCATGCAACAGCGCAGAATACTTAATTCTGTGACACATCTGAGTGAACTGTCAGTTATTATGGCATAACTAGGTGAATACTCACAGGTGCAATGATAGGGTAGATCTGATCCATTGCTATTGAAATTATACGAGGAAGGAAAGATTTGAACTGGGATCCTGGCTCTTGAACAATAAGCTCTAATATTTTCAAGAAACTGCAAAGATAAAGTATAATTAAAATATTTACTTTTCCAATTTAATTTCTAAGCATTTGTTGGTAAGGTGATAAAACAAAATGAAAACAAATTTAGTTTCACAAATTAACTATATATTCAAGATTTCTTGTTACACAACAGCAAAGAAAGGATGTTACACAACAGCAAACAATTTCATACGGCAGCAAAGAAATTATGTCACGCAGCAGCAAAAAAATGATATTATACACGATCAAATCAAAGCTGTGGCAATGCAGTAAAGAAATGAATGAATGAATCAATATGAATCAATAGCTGACATTCCTGCAGTCGGAACATTCCTATGCATGCTCAGTCCCCTTCTTCAGTAACCAAAAAATGCAGTAAAGAAATAACATCATGCAGTAGCAAAAATATACTTAGTGATATACACTTAGTAGAGTCAAAAGATAATTCTGATTCAACTGGGAAAAACCCAGACTGATGTACTCAGAAGAATGCACTATACTTAAAATTGAAAAAAAAAAAAATGTTCCAACCTAACAATGTGAATATTACACAGTAAAGCCCTAATCTCTCCATTACTGCGAATCTCGTACCATTATCAGAAAGGTTTTGCTTCTTTGCATCCACTGGCTGTGAATTCTGGGGCAAAGTCTTGATTTTTCGCCCACTTGGACTTTTGGCCGTTTATACAGGACCTGATTTTTGCGTGTATAACCATTTTACTGGCTTATTTTTGTGCGGTTCTTGTTCCCTGCCTCTCAGGCAGATGTACTCTGACTTCGAAGGAAGAAGTCGATCCTTTCTCTAGGATGCTGGGGCTACAAATTTGTGGGACATAATGTTGCGTCATTTGTGTGGTGTCCTCTCTGTCTCTTTATCCACGAATGTAACCCCCCGAGAACCCCTTTAGGGCATAAAGACTGGACAGTCCTCAAAGGAAAGCAGGGCCAGATCACGGGCATTCCAAGGAGGCTTCCATAAATGCAGAGCCAATACATAATGCTCTGGTCTTGGGCTCACCCAAGGAATCGTCATGCCCTGCACATGACTGTTTAACCTCACAACTGTATGTTCAGCTTTCCACATGCCGCGGGCTGCGCCCTCCAGAGATCAGCAAGGAGTAGCCCGCAGGTCCAGAACTTCGATGACCACACAGATAGGTACATTCTTCTTCATTACGTTAGACACCTTTAATAGTGGTTCAATTGTGCGCTTAGCATGACAGTATGGAGAGGCATCAGAATGGCTTCACCTGTTTGGTCTCACTACTTGGGCGAGAGGGACCAATGGATAGAGGCATATGAACCTTTCTGCTAATCAGAAGGATTTATGATGGTCGGACATTGAGGTTTTGCTGGTGTGCCATAGGACTTGTCTTTGTAGGATATTTGAGTCTAGCCAGCAGACTAACAGTGGCTGTCGTGGTGTACCTCAACACTGTGGCAACAATGTTGAGGGTTGACAGAGGATGTATGTAAATAGGATTTTGCCGTGAGAAACCACCCACTCGTCTAAGCTGCTGGCAAATCTCTTGGTCAAAAGTCTCAGCAGTTCAGTTTTTCTTTCACTCGAAAGACTTTTAACCAAGAGTTGTCATTCAGTGGCACATTTGGCAAACAGACTTTACTCATGTTCCAAATAAGTTTTGTTAGACTTTTCACCCATGCTTTTGGGGGTGGGCTGATGAAAGCCAGACCGGACACTTCACCTCTGGGGGCGATCAGCTCCGAGATCCCTTGCCAGCTCTGTTAATGATCATTTGAGACATTATCCATGGCACCTGATGGGGTCATGTAGCAGGAGGCTTGCATAAAGGTCTCGTAAAACCGGCATAGAGAGGGCTGGTGCCCGAGGTGGGGCACATAGTATCTCCTTACACACATCACATCAGACTTAACCTTCCCTCACGCCTGTGACCGAAATCACCGTGCCACAGTAAGGTACAAGATTGACCATTTTTTTTTTTCCTGAAACCACCCATCAGGGGAATCAAACCTTGGTAAAGCAAAGGGAGGAGTGCACTGTCAAACCATTTCCCAAAATTCTAAACTACAGAGCCATTTTACTATGATCACACAAAAGAGCACAAGGCTATGAAAACAATGAGTTAATAATAAAGCCCTTACACCAACCATCATGTCAAAGAAAGAAGTGTACACCATCTCCATAATGGAGGCTAGATCCAGTGGATTTGTGCAGTCACTGTTGTCTCTAAAAACATTATGTGGTGATGCCTGAATCTCTTGAGTGATGTGACTTTCATACATTGTCCCAAAGCCACAAGAACAGCCTTTTTTTTCTAAATCAAGCTCGAGTAGATTAAGGTTTGTGAAACATGGTCATTATCCTTGACACCAAAAAAGCTGCACAGCAATGTAAACAAATTTTTAAAAAAATTAAAAAATACAAGGTACACTTTGAGACAACCTACTTCTCAATGACCCTGAAAGCACCACTTGTTTCTTGATGTATTGTCTGAGTCAACAGCTCCCTAGAAATAATAAAAAAAAAAAATACAAGGTACACTTTGAGACAACCTACTTCTCAATGACCCTAAAAGCACCACTTGTTCTTGAATCTCTGAAAGAACATGATGATACATAAATATTCAGCAAACAGGCAACTCTACTACTCAACAACAACAACAACAACAAAAATGAAAAACAAAACAAAGAAAGCAATGCAAAGCTACTGAAACTGAAAATAATTTTGACATTCAAAATCTGTGTAATTTAATAAGTAAACTGTTCAGATGATTGGTGAGAAAGCTTGTGGAAGCAGTAGAAATGCGGTCTCATAGATAATGAGAACACAAACAGGTGGACAACAAGCAAAATGAAGAAATAAATTCACAAAGAGAACTAGTTCTTCACATTTGATGATAATTCACTTTCTGTGAGCGTGTCATCAGAAAAGTGACACTAGAGTATGTCATGACAATACATTCTGACAACAGGAAAGCAGAGTGAAAAGAGAAGCAGGAGGAGTTTAATAGAGAAGATGTTGGGGAGGGTAATTTGGGGCGGTGAAAAGAGATGATGTTTGGGAGGTAAATTTGGGGCTGGGAATAGAAAAGATGTTGGGGAGGTGAATTTAGGGCGTAAAAAAAAAAAGATGTTGTGAAAGCTTAGCACGAAGGATCAGCTGTATCAGAAATAGTACATGGTATTAGTACATCACAGACAAGGCCGAGAAATTTCTGTATGATTACTATATCCTAATTCTCCTTCGAAGTGAGGTACCAATGAGGCAGGGAAATAAAAACGGTTGTACACGCATGGGTCTACAAGCCAAGAAAAGAAATTTCTGTATTCTTGAAATTTCACTGTAGTCCTTACACAGGTTTCAGTAGGGACAATAGTTGATCCAGACTACTGCCTTTCAGCTTTAACCCTCTGGAGATGGAGCTTTTTTGGAGTTTCAGTGCCAAAAAGACGAAGCCTTCAGGAGAGAATTCTCATGGTTTATACACAAAAAATTATTAAAAATAAAGCGTTTAATTAACATACATAAAAATATATATATATGTGTAGGAAATTGAATGAGCTAGCATAATATTTATGAATCAAAGTGAAAACTCAACATTTATTTCAAATTACCTATTCTGATTTGCATAATTTATGCAAGCATTTAAAAAAAAAATTGGGATCAAACGTGACTAACTTGAAAAATGTGGGTGCATTTTTTTTTTGGATGAAGCTTGAATAAGTCCTAACACTTGTGTTTTGAGAAATAAGGCTCTTGGAGTCCCTTCAGACACTTCTGGCACATTTTTCTACTCATATTCCTGCCTCCAGCTATGTAAAGGTAAAGTCGGGAGATGTGAACCAGCCTCATTGCTCACGGTTTTAAACCATAAGTGCTCTGCCACCAGTACGGACAGCTGATAAGAATTGTCCGCCTGTGTCGCCATCCGCACGTAACTCTGTAGCTACAGTGACGTTCCTCCATTTACCCCAGAGTGTCAACTCTGGTACCCATTTCCTAGAGGCTGGGTGAACCCCAGGGAACCGCCTGGTTTTGAACACCGACCGCGGGCTGCAGCAAGTCGCAGCTGGATTTGAAAGCGAGCCGCTTATCGACTGTGCTCAGTTGCTAAGACGCAACAGTCCTTTTCATCATTGTTGGGCACAGGTAACCCCAGAAAAAAATCTGGTGAAGATGAGATAAAAATGTTAGACAACAAAAGCATTTACCTTGAAAATATATTCATAAATGTGTGTATAATCTTTTCCGTAAAGGCAACGCCCATCTGAACTCGAAGGCCTTGAAACATGGCAAGAAAGTAGGTCATGATGGTCTCCACCACCTCCACGTCGTGGACATATATTGGGAATATCAGCAGGGTTGTCTGTGTCACTTCCTGCAGGGAGCTACAGCAGATCTGCTTGGATTTGACCACCTCTCCAGCCAACGACTCCACCCAGTCTTGACAGATGATCATCGTTTTTTTAATCCCTGGCTTGGCTGAAAGTAAATTTTTCTGTCAATTTCTGGAAAATATTAGAAGACAGAATTATAATAAATTTAAAGTTAAAGGCAGTCCCTCAGCTGATACTGCCATTGCCATGTGAAGGCCCCTAGCCTTGGTTGGCAGCTTCCCTGTGTGGGTTCCAGGGTACCATTGTGGGGAAAACAAGAACATATCAATGCCTACCCCAACAAGCATGTCACAGGAGTCAACTAATTCAACAACTCCAAAGTCGGAGTACATCTGCCTGAGAGGCAAGGAACCTAGAGTCTGCAAACAAATAAGCCAGATCTGTGAAATGGATATGCACGCAACACTCAGGTTCAAAAACAAGACTAAAGTCCCGAGGTGGATGAACACCCAAAACATTCTGCAGGTTGGCAGCTATCTAGGAAAGCTCTGACAGGCAAACTGGGCACTGCTCTTTAGCTTGGCAGCTCCTGCAGGAAGCTTTGTTCCAAAAGAACTGACGTTACCTTTCCTTTGTAATAATATAGCTAGAAGAGTAAGGGATCATGTTGCATGGGCAACATAAGATCTCCCCAACACTGAAATGTGCAAGTAAACAAAAAAATACCCCAGTTTCAAGCTGACACAGGCCTAAAAATGCTGGAAGTGTCCTGGAAAGTAAAGAAGGTCAGCATCATTCTGACCGCATCACCCATTGATTACCAACTGGTCTATAGTAATATGAGTCTAGCATTACATCTCTGTTGCATCATTGGAGTGATTTCTGTACATAATTCCATTCCAATGCTTTTAACCTGTAGCCAGCTATCCATCAGTGTGTCACCTCCAGGCTGCTACCTAAAGGTTTACTGTACCATCCAGAGATTTAAAAGTCTCAATGGGGGAAGGCAGACCAACAAGGTAGATTTCAGATACCCAATAAGAAGTTATAATTAGGGCACCTGCACTGGCTTACACCAGCCAGGAGTCATCTTCTTCCCCTTCGTGTTCATTGGCTGTAAACTCTGGCGGAAAGTTCTGGGTGTTCATCCACATCCAGATTTTAGACATGCTTCAGATCCTGAGTGTTGCGTGCACATTTGTTTCACAGATCTTGCTTTTTGTATGTAGACTTCTGGTTTCTTGCCTCTCAGGCTCATGCACTCTTGACTTTGAAGGATGTCCCCAATGTCGACTCCTGCAACATGCTTTGTTGGGGAGGCAGTGGTATATTTTTGTGTTTCCCACAATGGGGCTTCGGAACGCATATGAGGACAGCCAGGAGTAACCTGGTGCTTAAAAGACCCATAAACACTACCGTAGTGTTTTTATTTTTGAGGTACCATATATGGTACTGCTACCATTTCCCCCGCCCTTCTCTTATCCACAACCAGTTTAGTCTGACAATCATACTCTGTATTCCCCGTATGGGTTCTGAGGTGGGGAAAACAAGAATAGACCCACTGCCTTCCCAACAAGCATGCCGTAAGAGTCGACTAATTAGGGGACTTTGAAAGCGAAGTATATCTACTCGAGAGGCAAGTAACAACCAAGTGCACACAACTAAGCCGGTAAAATGAATGAATACATGCTCAGGCCCTGGCACAAAGTCCAAATGGACAAATAACCAGGACTTTCCGCCAGTGATTACAGCTTATGAACAAAGAAGAAAAAGATACTCTGTATTATATGAAGACACAATACTCTGGTATGTGAAAATGTTCTACTATAGATCACATAACATACCCATGATTTCATTTTCCCCTTCCTTTTTTACATGATGCTTCCAAACCCTACATCGCACTGTTTTTATGCAGCCATCATAATCCAGTCCATGTGAATATACTGTACTCGTGATTTCATGTTTTACAAAAGTTAAACATTAAAGTCGAGAGGATGGACTTCACTGCACTAGATTTTATCGCATTCGCTCGGTCTCTCTCCGCAGAGCGGTTAGCCACCCGCCGAGAGCAATCGCATAAAGCATGAGCTCTTTAGCTCTGTTGATGACCCCCAGGGATCTCTGAGAAAAGTGCACCCGTGAACTGAATGTCTCAGCAATTAAATGAACCCATGATTTTCATAGTGCAAGGCAAACGGCTTGACTACTTTGCCACGGTAACTCCCTGTTTTACCTACCTCAGGTGATGCTTTCAAACCCTGTTTCATCTAGTTTTCACACTGTTTATGTAAAACCATCATATTCCGTTTTGTATATTTCTTATAGCGTCATATAATGTACTCATGAATTTGTCTTTTACCTATCTTACAAGATCAAATCTTGTTTCACACAATAATTAAAAATCTCAGATTCAGCTGCTGGTATATCGCTCTCTGTCACACTACCAGCTGCATCCCTGGCCCAGCTTCGGAGTCAGTGAACAGGACTGGGACAACAGAGAAAGAACAATGCTGACAGCACACTAACGAGTCTAACAATGGAACATGCTGTGTTGTTAACAAAGGCAGAAACCCACCTGCAGTGGATTCCATCTCACCGTGGCATTAAGGGCAGCAAAAGTGCAGATGCTTTAGCAAAGGAAGGCAGCAGCAAACCACAAACCTACCAGCCACTATCTTTTCAGGAAGTAAAAACCCTCATAAAAAAAGAAAATCGGAAACAAATTGGAAAACAAACACAGGACATAACCATCAAACAGATTTCCTCAAACACCTGAACTGAATCAATCAAGTCACAGTTTTTCACTTAGGCACTGGACAATGCAGACTCGAGAAACACTCATATAAACTAGGTTTGAGCCAAACAGCTCTCTGCCAGTGTCTTTGTGCCGAACATATTCCAGATAATGTTTGGCATGACTGTCCTCTTTTGGCAGAGCTGTGAAGCAACATGTAGAACTGACAACTAAGCTTTGGAGAAACCTAAGAGACCTTGAGATGACACCCCAGTTTATGGCCCACAATGGATTAAGCGCACGACCAGAGATGCATAAACTATACCAAACATACACCTTTCAACCCTGTTGATCATACCTTGCTCCTGTGCCTGTTTGGAAACTGCCAGCTCCGGGTGTGAGCCAAGAGTGACAAACTGGGCCACCAGATGGGAGATAAATGCCTTGTGGTGCGCCGCTCTGTTGTCCCAGTCCTGTTCACTTACTCCGACGCTGGGCCAGGGAAGCAGCAGGTAGTGTGACAGAGAGCGATAGACCAGCAGCTGAACCTGAGATGTTAGTGAAATGTGTGATAAAAAACTACCTCAGTGAAGAGTTAAAATGACTGACGGGGAAACAAAAGGGGGAGGGGGTTAACCGACTGTGTATTTCAAGTGAGATGCTTTTTGTCTGCAACCACAGTTATTTGTGTTGTGATATTTAGAAAGCGGCATTCAGATTGATGATGCATATTATGCAAGCTCTCTAGCATAGTTGGCTAAACCGGATTGCGCGGTGAAGCGCGCGCTTCTTGTGGTCCGGGTTCACTCCCGGGGTAGGCAGAGCCACTTTCTCCCAGATTGACTGAATCCCGAAAAGGTTGCGATACTTCCAGCTCAACAAAAAAACAAACAAACAAACATGGTGCATATTGCAGTTTACTGTTATCAACGACAAATTGCAGTTTACTGTTAGTGTTGGCACCTCTAGTGGCTGCTTTAGGCATTTACCGCATGTACATTTTTCTGGATTAAGACAGTTTTTTCATTGTATTAGATAGGATAATCGGGGACATTTCTTGTGATTTACCATGGCATAGGATGGGAGAAATTACAGGGTGTAGCAGTGGAGATGAAATGAATACAGACTACTGGCTACTGTAGATCATACAAAGATTGCTTTACCATATGTAAATGAGAATCATGAAGAGAACTTATTGCCTACATCAGAATAAGACATGCAGAAATCTGTACAGATTGGCCACACTGCAGTTGTCACACTGATCTAATTCTGCACTGTTTCTGGAATCCATACGCCTTAACACTAATTCAACAGGGGGTATGCAGAGGTTCTGAAAGATATTTAACACTGAAGGGGAAACTAAGGCGGACTTTTAATCAGGGATTACACAATAACTGGTACTATTAGCATGTAAACTCTTCACTGGTTACTGAAGAAGGGGAGTGAGCATGTGTGGGTATATCCTGAGTGCAGTGATGTCAATTCTCGACTGATTGATTGATTGATTGATTCATTTCATCCTTCCAGATGACAGTGTCCCACTGTGCTGCTGGGAGACGTGGGAGCCACAGCCTATGATGATACTAACCCCAGAGATAAAGTTCCTCCTCTTTCATAGCACAAAGCCTGAGCAGTATTGTAGGGACCATGTGGTGCCCATCCATTATGATCCCTCTCTCTGGATGCTTTGTTAACTCCTAATTCTGCAATCAGGCTTAAAAGTGGCTAGTCTGTGAGATACAGTTTTTTACTCTGAGACCAAGTTAAACTTTCTAACCACAAATCACATACTCTTTCTATGAGTGCCGATCAAAACATTGTCTGTTCATTATATAAATATAAACCCACAAATCAGAAATATATTAACTAAAGTGACTTCTGGAAATCTTTTACATGATAAAAGGAGCCAAATTAGGTTAGATGATGCAATAAGTGTCAGAAATGTCAATAACAGGTACAGTCTAAGAAAAGATGGTACAAGAATCTTTAAAGACCTTTTACTACTTATGTGGATTCTGCCGCATACTTTTGGAGGACAAAATTACAGAAAAAATTCCCTGTCTCCTCGCCCACCTTATCTTAATAAGCATGTCTTAAAAGGTCACTACACAGGGATGAGCTGATACTGGATGTATTGAGGCCTAAAGATGCAGATATTGCAGTCTAGCTATAAATGACAACACAATCTGCTAACCATTCTTTCAAGACAAACTCAGAAGAAGAAGAAATATAGACAAGTGGTCTCCAGCCTGGAGGGCGCGCTGTCCTGCAAGGAAGAGGGGAGGGGGAACCTTCTAAGGGAGTGTCAACAATTTTTGAAAACAAATTTTATTTGTACTTGTAATAATCCGTTATATAAATTTTTTTTTTACATTTCATTTTAATTAATATTTTTTTTAGCTATTTATAATGCAAAAAAGCCAAGGACCTTTTTGTTTTTATGAGTAGTTTGTATATACTGAAAATCATATTTAATATGAGAATACCTGAATTTAATTGTAGATTAAGAACATATTCCGCAGATTTAGGATCCCATTGTGTTATGTTGGGTGGTTGGGGGGGGGGGGGATGTCTGAAGGAGAAGAAAAAAAAGGGGTGAGGGGCATGGGTTTTTGCCATATGCTCAAGCATTTATGGCAGTCTTGTAGCACACTCGAGAAAAAAAAAAGGGGGTGGGGGGGGTGTGTGAGAGTCCAGTCATATACTCAGGGGGTGGAGCACCTGAAAAAGACTGGAGACCACTGCCTCACATCCTACACTTTAAACATTAAAATGTATGAAAGAATAATCAAGTTACAATGAGAACTGCCAGTTACCTCTAGTGCCAAGTTCTGGCAATTGCCTTGACCAGCACTCTCGTAAAGAGTGACCACTGGGGCTATCTGGAACAGGAAGGCTGGACGAATGGTGGTGGTCACTGACAACAGCAGATGGGCAGCAGACTGAATGATTTTATCTGGAACCTGTCAAAACAAATAAATCATCATCATGTAGCTGGTTTTTTAACAAACACTGTTCCCATCATAGCTCGCCTAAAAGAAACTTAGTCATCAGTTTTCCTGACTCATGCACTTTCCATCGACGACTGTGTGGCCCACTGTTTGGCCGGCAGACGACTTCGCTGCGGGTCTTGATAGTATTTGGGACTCTCTCCTTTGATCGCATCAACACTGCAAGAGTCTTTTTTTCAGGGTTGCTTGGTGGCGAGCAATGTTAAGCGCCATGTCAAATGGTGCAAATAACCTAAGTCACAATTATAACCAAAAGCCCCACCCTTCAGGGATGCTGGTTGAACAAGACGATTTTTATTTTTTCTTCCTAAAAAAACAGAGTGGATGAAGCACTTTCCTGTCTACTGTGTCTTATATGTCCTGTGCCCATCTTCGTGCTGGTCAGCCCTACCCCTTTTAACTGGTACCATGCCCTCTGACACTGTTATCTCCAATCCGCTGTGGCGCTTGATATGGCCAAAGTATTTCAGTTTCTGAGACAATTTGCTGTTTACCAGCCAATTCTCCTTGATCCAGTGCAATATGAGAATCTTTTTCACAGCATTTTAACTTAACTCTTTCAGTCCCAAGAGTTTTTTTTAGCATCAGGAGCCCAAGGGGTAGTGAAGAAGGATGTAAAATCAGCACACCTTGGGTTCACTAGGCTTCTGGGTTAAAAAACTATGAACACATGACACGTTTCAATGGGACTAAGTTAAAAGCCCCTATTGTCTTTGTTAATGATTGCAAGATAGTCCATGACTCACATTCTTATGTTGTTAAAGAAAAGATGCACGCTCTCAAAATTCTGGTTCTGATTAGCTTGCTGGTGCTTAGCCATAAACTTGTAATGCTGTGAAACAAATGTACCTATTTGTAATTCACCAGTTACTCTGTATTAAAATCTGTCATAGTTTTTCAGATATGTCTGTATAACTTCAGACAAAATGTGTATTAGTTTCCATTTAACCCTCTAGCCACAGAAAACATAGGGAAAAAAAAACTGGTCACAACCCCCACTGAAATTTTAACCCCCCCCCCCCCCCCCCCCCCAAAAAAAAAATAACCAACAAAAACAGCAATTTTTACACAGGTCACCAATAAGTTCGTAAAAAACATGTATTTATCAGTCTTTTTTGTATGGGGAAATATATCAAGATATATGAAGGGGTAATGAATAAACATGAGCAAGGGAAGAAGTAAGAGGAATACATTCTCTGAGGCCTTAAAAAAAAAACATGTTTATCGGGTAATTCATGCCATGACCTCTGACACCCCCCCCCCCCCTCAAACTGCCATTTATTAGTTAATGAATTCATATCCTGACCTCTTAAATATTTGTTCAGGCATCAAAATAGCCAACAACAACAATGACGTGAGCATATGAAGCCGAATGCCAAGAAGAATAACTCATAGGGCAAGAGAGATATAAGTACAAACCCCAAAACAAAAGAAAATGTATAAAAAAAAAAAGATAATAATATGAGACAGAGATGAACAGGATGTGGAGAAAAAGAAAGGAATTGCAGGCTTGGTGTGAGCTGGTTGATGGCCTATGCTCCACTGGGAGATGAAAGGCAGAAGAAGACATATTTAAATGTTAGTAATACATGCACCTATGGTGTAATAACATGTTTAATGAATACAGTACTGAGGCTTACGGGAAAATTTGATGTCAACTTGACTTTTGAAAAAAGCAGCAATAAATACAGTACATGCTGTGTTATGGCCTATGCTTCACTGGGAGACAGAAGAAGACCTTTTCAAATGTTAATCCTACATGCACCGATGGTGCAATACACGAATACAGCTTTCTTCTTCTTCTCCTTCGCTTTTCTAAACGCCAGTGGAGCATAGGCCCTCAACCAACTCACGTCAAGTTGTTCTATCCTTCGCTATCGCATGAAGCTCTCCCCATCTTATTAACTTTACTCTCCAGCTCCATCCTCCTTGTATTTTTTGTTTGTCTTTTTAAAAAAAAATATTTCTAAACCCCTGTGAGTTCCACTGCAAAGACATTCTAGTTATACTCTTCTCAGGTTTTCTCAATGTATGTCCTATCCAAGGCCAGTGTCTTTTCTTCCTCTCTTGCTCCACTGGAACAATGAATACAGTCAGTACCTGCAGGAAAATGCATGGACAGAGCTGATATCATCAACACTATTCAGATGAGGCTGATGGATGATGAACCTGTGGTGTTAACATGATTACATGGACTGAAGCCTGGTGAAGCACACTGAAGTCAGGATAGGAGATAGTTTAACCAACTTCTCATGGAAATAATCAGTAGAGGTACTCTGGAGTGGCTGTTGCATTTAGGGGAATGTTTAATGTGCCGTGACAATGATTATGACAACAAAAAACGCACTGATGAATCAAACATAAATAAAAATATCACATGTAATTTATATTAAATGTAGGGATATAAATAAATCCTGCTGATCTTTCACCCTAATGTCTACCTGTTTGTTAATGAGTGGTGTTACTGCCTCCATGACTGTCACAATCATGCTATTAAAATCCTCCTTCTGTTGATTGGTGCGCAGGCTTTCTGTATAGAACTGCAGCATCCAATGGGTGTAAGCTTTAATTGCTGCCAAAGACTGTGCATGCCTGAAAAGAAAGGCAGAAGACTGCGTCCATAATGTTCTAGAAACATATAATATGAAAGCTGTTCAGCACTATGCAATACACTATTTTTATTTCAACATTCAACGCACTATAAGCAGGCCATATATGAAAGGCTTTGCTAATTTGTTTCCATATGATACCGTTATGTGCCGTGCTCTGTAGTGAAGTGGTCAAGCCATTTGCCTCAATGCTCTGAAGGCGAGGGTTCATTTCACGGCTGTGCCCTTCAGTTCATGAGTGCAATTTTTATGGAGATTCCTAGGGATCATCGCCCGAGCTATGGAGTTCATGCTTTGTGCAACAATCTTGGCAGGCTGCTATGGAGAGTGTCTGAGCCATATGGTATAAAACCCTGAGCAATGAAGTCGATCCTCTCCCCTCTAAACTTTAACCGTCTTTTTTTTTTTTTTGAAATGCATTGTTTACCAATCTACTTTTCTTGTTCCGGAATCTTCACCCACATGTGTGTTAGTGGAATGAATTTAAGACAAAAAAAAAGGTAAAAATAAAATATATTTTAACCCACTGACTACCAACGTCGCACTTTATGCGACGAGGCGACGTTTACTTCCTGTCACCAACGTCGCACGCTTTGCGATTTTAGCTTTGGACGCTCGCCGTCATGTTAAAATCGCGATTTTTATGATGGATTTAGTTGAAACCTCTAGCTTATTCATTTCTATATGGTTAATTAAGGGAAATAACTTCGTAGTGCTTGAAGTAAATATTTGACGAATTTTTTTAGTTAGCGCCCATGACGGTGAGACATTGAAGAAAAATTCATCGTGGCGTCATATTATCAGAACCATTGTGGTGGCCATATCTCTCCTAATTTTTCTAATGATGCATTTGATTTTCTTGATTTTGCTTCAAAAAGTGAATCTGAAGACACTTCTGAACAGTTTGATGGCTATGACTATAATAAATTTAACGAAGTGCCATTCAAAACATCGTCGACTGTAAAACGACAGTATGAAGCTTCGAAGTCAAGTCAGACAAAAACAGTGTTGTCGGCTGCAAGTACTGGTGCCGCAGTTTATGATGCTGATAGTTCTTGTAAGAGTATTCAGTCAAAGTCCACAGATTATAAAGTCTGCACACGACGAAGATTTCATTGCCGCTTTTGATTCAGAATCATCATCATCTGACGAGTCCGGGGAAGATGTGCCACACCCCCCAATGGTTCATGACTGGCATTGTGATTTAGAAGGCTTTCCTGGAGTACCCCCATTTACTGGCACTTTTGGTTTATTTCTGCCAGCAGGAACAAATGAACCACTGAATATTTTCTTTAGTAAAGAAATTCTGGCTGTGTTTGCTAAAGAAACAAACCGTTATGCTGAGGCAAAGATTGGTGCCAAACCAGACACCTGTTTTCCCAAGAACTGGAAACACACAACCCCAAATGAAGTAACATGGTTTCTTGTACTGTTGCATCACACGTGTTGTGAAAAAGCTGTCTATTTCAGACTACCGGAGTCTATATCCATCTATCCACTCATCATTTGCTACCACCATCACATCACGGGGGCGTTTTCTATATATTGCTGTCAGATAAAAGATTTGTCTGTTGCCTTTTCAGCACCATATCTACAGCCACATGATGATGATATAAAACAGTAAATCTACATATGTCTTGATATTTGTTATCTATTTAATTTGGTGCAAACAATATCAGATAGGATAAGTGATATTGAACAGTTGTGAAGCTGTGACATTTTTTGGGAGTCTGAATTATTGTCAGATAAATTATTTTTCAGTTGCCCTTTTTGCAACAATCTACAGCCACATGATGATGATGATTATGTCAGACAAAGTAAACCCCATTTTTTGTCTTCACATTGTTCTCGGTTCAATTTTGTGCAAAATTACAAAATGTAATATATGTTTGTTGAATATTTTTGAAAAAAAATCATCACTATCAGTCTTTATTGTTGTCAGATAAAAGATTTTCAGTTGCCTTTTTTGCAACAATCTACAGCCACATGATGATGATGACTAGGTCAGAGTAAACCTTATTTTTATTTTCTTTAAATGGGTTCTTAGTTTAATTTTGTGCAAAAAATACAAAATATTATACATTTTTGTTAAATATTTTTTGAAAATAAGACATTTTTATTAGTCTTTATTGTTGTCAGATAAAAGATTTTTATATTGCGTTTTTTGCACTTATCTAGAGCCACATGATGATGATGCAAAACAAAATAAACAACTTTTTTTCTTGAAATTTGTTCTTCATTCAGTTTGGTGCAAAAATACAAAATATTGTGAGATTAAATCAAATAGTTGTGAAGCTATGGCATTTTTAGTAAACACTAAAATTCGTGGTATCTGGGGAAATGCAAGGGTTAATGGGCTTGGTAGTTAGTGGGTTAACACCGTAACCCGCCACACGTGCGTAAGAAGTGAACAAGGAAAGCTGGCAAAAAATTTTGTTACAAAATCTGGCCAGTTATGAAGAAGTCTCTGTGTCAGTTTCAGGGCTTAATTTTTTGGGGGGATAAAGAACAGTCCCACTCTTAAAAGTTGGTGGTGAAGGATGATCAAGTAGATCAGGCGAGTTGGGTTAAAAGGCACAAATTTAACTGCCCAGCTCCTAACCACAAAACAACATGCCAACAGCCCTTTTCCCTTTCAAAGAAGAATGAAGAACATGAAGGAAATGAGGAAGTCTACAAAGTGCTTGATGTTAGCTGACTGAGGGCTTGTGATCCACCAGGAAATCTTCTTTATCATTTTCACCGACTGTAAACTCTGGCAGAAATTTCTGGATGTTCATCAACTGCTGTGAGTAACTGACTGACAGCCACAGATGAGGATAACTGTAGTTTGAAGGGGTGGGATTTGAAGCCTCTCCTGAAGGATGGCGTTTGATATAGATAAGAGGAGGAGCTAAACTCTGCTAATTTAGATAAGGCAAAAGATTAATACAGCGAGAAGTCTTGAATTCAATTCAGCCTGGTTTCCAGGGCCCAGATGTGGGGAAAACAAGAACAGATCCACTGCCTCCCCAACAAGCATGTTGTAAAAGTCGACTAAATGGGGATTTCTTTGAAGTCGGAGTGCATCTGATCGAGAGGCAAGGAACCAACGGTCTGCATACAAAGTCAGATTTATAAAATGAATGTGCATGCAACACTCAGGTTATGGAACAAGTCTAAATTCCAGAGCTGGATGAACAAACAGTACTTGCTGCCAAAGTTTACAGCCAGCGAACGTGAAAGAAGAAGATCAACAGCTGGACTTTATAGGCTTGTTCCAGAAGCTGAGTGCTGCATGCACACCCATTTAATAGATAAGAGTTCATTTAAATGCAGACTGTTGGTTCCTTGCCTCTCAGGTAGACGCACTCCGTCTTCGAAGGAAGCTACCACTTAGTCTACTCTCATGATATACTTGTTAGATAGACAGTGGGTTTATTCTTGTTTTCTCCGTAAAATGGCCCCAGAATCCACACAATGACACTGGGAGATGAATGGCAAAAGAATAACTCTTTATTAGTTTTGAATTCTTCTCTCCTATCTTTCTTTCTGTATATATTTTTAAATGTTTTTTAGAGACAGCCGTTTTGGTTAGTTACAATAAAAAGAGAAGAGGGAAAAAAGTCCTTTAAAACAGATGGGGAGAGGGCCCCTCATACTTCAAATGTCCTCCGTGACTACACAATTTTTATGTGTTAAGGGCAAATACAGAAGCAGAAGAAGAAGAAGATGAAGAAGAAAAAGAAAGAAGAAAAAGAAAGAAAGAGAAAGGAGAAGAAATCTAAGAAAGATAACTTACACTTCAATAAAATCTTGCTGTAAAACTCCAGCTGATGTGGTTACTTCAAAAAACTTCACTCTGCTACCATATGACGCTATCTGGACTAGTCTGGAGAGAAAAGTATTTATATATGGACATGAAAATAACAATCTTATAAAGAGGAAGGTTGCTTACAACTTTTTTCTTCTTTCTTTGTTTACTGGCTGTAAGCTCCTGCAGAAGCAGCAGACAGTGCATAAACTGGTTAAGTTTAGACTTAGTATGGTCCGTGTACATTGGAAATTAGAAGACTAAGACGAAAACCAGTCACACAATTTTGTAAAGAGCAACAAATGAGATGGTTTGGCCATCTTACAAAAGTTGAGTAGTGGTGAGTCAAGAATTGACATCACAACACTCAGGACATTCCCATATGTGTTCCGTCCCCATTCTCAGCAGCCAGCGCAAAGTTCCAATACTAATGATGCCAGTCGTAGTCTGGCTGTATGTCCGTCTTGCCTTTCCTCTGAGCATAGTGAGCCGGCCCAACCCTCTGGTCACATCCAGGTGGCCATCTGACGAGACTGCCATGGTACCAACTGCTACAGAGAGTCACAGTGAAGAAATACAATAGTCACAGTGCAAGGGGAAGACCATGCAGATATGGAATGATAACACTGAGAACAGCTTTAAAGAAATATACAACACAGACATCATACACAAGACCTGCTTTCACCCACCCTTAAAAAAAAAAGTTGTTATATGACCCAACTTACCTGGAAACTATTTGCATGGCATTGGTAAACCTCAGAGCGAAATGCTCCCCAATGAAATGGACCGCCAGTCTGCCCAAAGCTTGCAAGAGGGATGAAAGGTCTCTCAAAGTACAATGCAGCCTTCTACAATCATTCTCTGCAGACACACGTAGATGCCGATTGAAGCCTGAGCTGTCAACAAACTTCTCAATGCCAAAATATGTCTCTACATGTTCTTGGAATGGCTCCCACTGATTTCAAGAGAACAATACAAGCGCATTATATGCAGAGTTTTATGCAACACATCTGAATCAAATTATCAGTCAAAAACTAAACTATTTCCCAGCTCTGACCTATTTAACAGCACTGAAAGTAGACAGGTCATTTATAAACTCTGAAACTGAACAGTCCCGACTCTTGTGCATAAAGGTACATTAATATTTAAGTAAACTTCTTGTTTCTTTTTTCTAATCGCTATAAAGCCTATATATATATATATATATATATATATATATATATATATATATTTATATATATAAATGATATCATAACCCCTTAAATTTGTTCATCGTATGCCCAAGGGTCCTTGGACCAGCAAAAGGGAAACTGGCGCAGGCTATATATATATATATATATATAGATATAGATATTTTGTTTTTGAATTCCTCAACTTTAGAATGCAATTATTTGTTGTTGTTGCAATTTCAGTATCTCTAAATTATAATAAGTTATTCAGTATGACTTTTAAAAAGCATTGAGTCCATGACATACTTGCAAAAATAACAAGTCCACATGTCTTATCTAACTAGGAACCACTGGCATGCACAATTCTTAAAAAATCCAACATGAACAGATTCAACATAAATTACACTTACTACGAGCTGGAAGACTTCTGGTGTCATGAGTTCAGCAACTTTAGCTACGACTTCCAAATTCTGCCGCAGGAAATGCTGCCATTCTGTTTTTTCCTATAAACAATCAACATGAAACTGATTAATGTTCTTCTTCTTGGTTGGTTGTGCACAACTAGATGGTGAACTGATTGATGCATGACAAAACAGATGTTGCAAGGGGCTTTAGGGGGTGAGTGAACAGGGTGGAGGCACAGATGGATCATCATGGTCTGAGGAGAATAGCACTGCGATGAGTGACCAGGGGATCTTGCGGAATATCAACACTCAGGGGAAAGGTGAGATAGCTATACTATCAGACTGTTACTGGTACCATCAGAAATGGAACCGTGAGCTTGCTGCTGAAGATGGGAATGAATGCTTATGCTGTGATGTCGATTTTTAATTAAACATACTTCTTCTGTGGTTAGCATGTTGTGTTTTTGGTTTACTCCTAGGCAGTGATATATGCCCCTTTAACGCCAACACATCCTATTTAAGCAAATCCTTAATTAGTCACTTTTTATATAAGCTTCTTAAGGGGAAAGAAGTCTATTCCTTTTCCCCAAAAGTTAGGTCCCAGAATCATAAAAGGGAGGGTTAATATTCCAGTGTGCAGCAATCGTTTCTTCATGACAGCTGTGATGCAATGTCTTGTAAAACACAAGAGTGTAATTATACATTTTTGATGGGTTGATATCTAAAAACCTATTCTCGACAAATTGATGTGGTAATTCTTGACGTTCACATTTCAAAATAATAAACTAGCTACACATTTTCATAATATTTAGAAAAGCCTTTGCTTAAATTATAAAAACCCCACATTTGGAAAGACTTGCAGCTTTCAACAAAGGCCTGAACTATATCAGCTTTCAATATAGACTTGAACATAAGCTTTCAGCAAAGATTTGAAACTATATCTGCCTTTATACTTAAGCCTGAAACTTTTTCTCTTTTCTGTTCTCTACTCCTGAAATGCCCCACATCGTCAGGGCCGGAAGAGATCCCTGGAATAGGTCTTTCTTTTTCATTTCGTATAAAGTACTTTTTCAGTGTCTCCAATATTTCCAGTCCATCTTTTGTGTGGTCAATTGCTGACTCTGCTACCACTTTATCGGGTATAACACTGCTTTCCGTAATGCCCGAAACTATATCAGCTTTAAACACAGGCATTTACTGCACTTCTATATGCAACAAAATCGAATGGATTTTTTAAAATTTATGGTCATATATAATTTTTTCAATAAAATGTGAATGGATTGCTTGCAGATGTATAAAGGGATCTGACCATGTCAACTGTCTTAAATACACCGTCATGAAATGTTGAAATCTCAAAATAGACATGCAATTAAAAGAATTATTAAGTTACAAGCACCATCAAATAGTAATGAGATCATAATGTTTATATCATATGCCCTCACATATTGTCAACACCACAGCATGCACCCTCAAATAGTGTTCACATCACAACATACACAATGTTAACAACACAACATACAACATGGTATAACAATAACATCACAACACACCAACTACGTACATCATCATCTAAAGTGTCATCATCAAGTTCCTCCAGTTGAGACTGGTTGTAGCGGAACTGGAACTTCTGCACAATACTGGTCAGCAATGATGTCAAAGCTTCTTTGTACCTGCAAGAGACATATTAACTCTTTGAGTCCCAGGTGGTTCAGCATCAGAGGCCCAAGGGATGGTAACACAATTTTCTAAATTCCACAAGTGTTAACACAGATAACTCTAATTCAGCTGCCAAGCAACATACACATATTATACATCAAAGTGACCAGCGACTGTTGAGCAATATTAGAATACAGCTAGAATAAATGAGTTGTGTTAGTAGTTAAATATTAGTAAATAAACATGCTACATTTTAGCTTTTAATCCCATTTCCAAATAATCCTAATGGTTGACAAGTGTTTCTAAAAATGAAGACCTGGAAAGTTCAGTCCGCGGCTGTTTTTTTTTTTTGTTGTTGCTAAAAAAAGTAAAGGACCCTTTTTCACGCCTTTAGGCGTATAGGGCATGTAGGGCTAGACCTATATTTTTATAGACCAGCAGCACAAGATGAGTGATGTGGTCAGCATCACGCCGGCCGCCTCTACTTCCCGGGACTGCACCCGGTACCCACTCAAGGCTGGGTTTAAAAAAAGGTCTGTCAGTGGGAGCAAACCCACGACCTTCTGATCCGCGCCGAGCGTCTAGCCGCTCTGCCACGGCGACTCCTGTTTTTTTTAAACTGGTCAGTAGTGATTTAAAAACATTAAATTTGTCACCCACCGATTGTACCACTGGGTAGTTACCAAGTAGCGTGTGATGCGTTCCTTGAGACTTACAGAGTTAAAGCGACCAGTGAGGAATATCATCACAGTATTCCGGACAAATCCACAGCTGCTCCTCAAAGGCTCCACAAGCATAAAATTACTGATAACGCCAGTTCAGCATTGATGAATCAAATGTCTTGTCATTTTGGTAAAAACTGTATTACTTGCAGCTCAAGGCTGCACCACCATGTTCATCAGCCTGGACATAGATACAAAGTCATGCCCTTTGCCATAAATGTCTTTGCGGTGAGTGCTGCGCCTGGTATTGATAACATCCCTTCTGTCCAGTACCAGACCAGCTATAGCAACCCCCAGTCTCTGCAGGATAATCTATGCAACCTGGCAAAAAGATGAAGATTAGTCAACCAATCTTGAAGTGCTTAGTGTTAAAATCCATTTTGGTCTGATGAACGCTTCCTGGATTTTCGTAAGCATATTCAGTGAGTCACCAAGTCTGCACTAGTAATATTAAGGGTTCATTATCAACATCATAATGCTTTTCCGACTGACATTGATGATCATGCTGCTCCAAATCATGCGATATTCATTGTGTCAAAAAAATGATGACTACTCCTTTATGTTTGTTAAAGTTGACTTCGGATTGTAGCCTCTTTCAAAACACCGAGATGGTTTGATATCCTGTGGTTTACCATGGAGTTTCATTCTATCTAAGTTAGTCCAAAATAATGGAACCGTTTATTAAGCATACCAAAAAGTTTTTCATATGCAAGAATCTCTGCAACATTTCTCCTCCTTTTGTCATAAAGGAAACCTTGTGCCAGGTATTTAAATGCAAAGATTAGCCAAACAAGAAATGTGTTTGAATATGTCACTTTGAAGTAAATCAAACCTTCTATTTTCTGTATTCACCCACACTGCACTGTGATTCACAGCGATATCTGCACCTTTCAACCCAACACATCTTATATCAGCAAAACCCAAATTAGTCAGCTTTTATGACATGCTTGTTGTTGGCGTCTGTGGCTTAGGTGTTGCGAACGCGCTTGGTAATGCCGGGGTGCTGGGTTTGATCCCAGCTGTGGATGATTTGTCTTGCTTTGGTTTTGACAGTGGTACATTCAGAAAGAAATGGCAAACTACTAAATGTAAAATTTGCCCAGAAAAACCACAACAGCCAAAAATTACTGGTGTTGGTTCCGCAACGTCCTGTAAAGGATATGAAACTTTTTTTGTGTTTTTGTTTGTTTTTTTGTGTTTTTGTTTGTTAGAGAGCAGTGGTTCTATTCTGTTTCCTCCTGAAATGGGAACGCCCAGAACTCGCAGAGAGTCCTGAGACAACAAGTGGCAAAAGCACTAGTAGCTGAAAGTGTCAGCAACCATTTTCTTTTTCTGCTGGTTGTAAAAAGACAATAATAACATATTTAATCTATATAACTCTTTCAGTCTCACTAGGTCCTAGCTAATATCCCAGGGTATTGAGAATGACAATAGTAAACTCATGGGTCTACTACTTCCAGAGGAGCCAAATATACAACTTGCAGGAAACAAATAGGTTTTCAGAGTTCTTTACATGAACCTGCTCGCAAAACATAATAAGTAAAAACATACATAACATGTTGACTGGTATACGTGAATAATACCCAATCACCACATTGCACTATCTGGGACAGAAAGAATTCAGAATAAAAAAATTTTTTTTTTAAATCTGGTCCTTTTTTATTTTTATACACGATTTAAAAAAAGTGTCGCGTAGGAAAATGTCAGCTGAACAATATATCACCCATGGTATGTTAACTGTGCAACATATACCTAACAAAAAATATGAAAACTGGTGACATAAAAGGATGTGAAATGTCTACTATTTCTAACATTTGATACCTCTGAGAAATATCCTCCTTGTTAATTGCCCGGGCCTCTAGCTTGTTATGTAAGTAGTCCAGAAATGTAATCCAAATATCCAGACAACTGTAATAGCCGTCATTGGTTGGCTGAAACATAATAATTGGTGTCATCTGAATAAGGAGAAAGGCTCAATGGGGAGAAAAAAGGTAAAAGAAGAGGAGGAGGAAGTTGAAATGGAAGAAGAACAAGAGCAGGAAGCTTGTTTCTTTAATGTTTTTACCATAGCAGGACAAACAGATGGTACTGCAACAAATTATGGCATGTGCCTCGTTGTTTGTGATATTTATGGACTCCTCCGGAACATTTATCCATCTTTTAGGCAGCATATTCATACCAACAATGAGCTACCAGTGCCAAAAATTGACATTATTTAAAGCACATAATATCACCACCTGCGAGATGAGATGCCTGAGAAAAGCTGCCTTCCTAACTATTTGAAAATGAGTAAATAATGATACTATCAGACTGTGTTAACAACACAGCAGATCAAGAGGTTTGGCCATCTGCTTAGAATGCAGCATGTCAAATACAACAACAGGCACTACATATGAAAAGATCATCAGCTACAAGAGCAAAAGGTCGACCACGAAAAATATGGTTTGACAACATTAAAGACACTGTATGCCTTCAGGACATGACAATATCCGGTGCTAGCCAGACCAGATCTAAAGTTTCTTCACCAAGGTGCTTAATGGCAGAAGTGGATTATGATGATGATGATGATTCTGTACTGTTCCCTGCTGCAAGGTGCTTTCTGTGGAGCACTCGTGGTAATTGCAAATTAATAAATTAGTCAAGAACTGCCATTTCTGTCCCTAGGGTATTTTCAAACACTCACTGTCACCTTTCTCAAGAGCCAACAAAAATCTACAAGTTGCCAACTGGAATGAGAAGGTAAATCACAGAGATGAATGTAGGTTTGTGATATTTGCAGCAATGAATCTCAAGGGTTTGGAATATGGATGAAGAAGAAGGAGGAGGAGGAAGGAAAACATATGTACCAGGAAACTCCCCGTCTGGGTTCCAGGGCCCCAGTGTGAGAAAAACAAGAACAGACCCACTGTCTACTCAACAGCATGTCATAAGAACCGACTAATTAGGAGCTTCCTTCAAAGTCAGACTGCATCTGCCTGAGAGGCAAGGAAACAACAGTCTGCTAACAAATGGGTCACATCTGTTAAACGGATGTGCACGAAACTAATAATTAGGTTCTGGAACAGGACTAGAGTTCAGAAGTGGACAAACAACCAGAGCTTTCTTCCAGAGTTTACAGCTGGTGAACGAGAAGAAGAAGAAGAAGAAGGTACCAGGAAAATGCTCTGGGAAGTAATAAGCAGCCACAAGATACTGACCAAGTGCCAACAGGCGCTGTCAAGAAACAGAGTCGCCAATAAATTTTGGTGAATAGTGAAAATTATCATCACAGCACTCCAGACAGATCATAGGTGCTCTGATCTCCTCAACAAGCGTAAAATGACACTGATGACTCCTGTTCTGTTTTGCCTGATCACATGTCATGTCCCTTTGGTGAAATGTTTATTTCTTGCAGCTCCAGGCTGCACCTCAATGTTGATCAGCCTAGACAGGGATACAGAGAGTCATGCCCTTTGGCATAACCAATGAAGAACTAAGAATAATGGTAGGCACCATCAGGTAAATGATTTCACAGAACATTTAAAAAAAATTAAATGGTTTGGTCATCTGGTCAGAATGGAAAAAAATCAGCCAGCAGCAAGTGAGAACTACATGAGAACAGCAGGCTACAAGGTAAGAGGCAGGGAGTAAAAGAGACACTACAAAAAAATGCAGCTTGACAATAACACATGCTACGCACCTAGAGAAATATAAGAAACTACATCTACCTCGCCTTGAGTTGGTACCAGGTGCAATCCTGAACATAAAAATGGCAGGCATAATGCTGACCACATCACCCACCAGGTGTCGATTGGTCTTATAAAAAAATATAGGTCTAGCCCTATGTGCCCAATACGCCTGAAGGTGTGGAAAAGAGTCCTTGACTTTTACATCTACCTTATCTCTGCAACACTTTAAGGCAAAAAACAGTAGGACAAACGAAGAAGAAGCTAACCGGCCTATAAATATAGGGGACTGGCATTATATACCAATAGGTCTCAACATGTGAGAAAGGGCCCATGACCTTTTGTTTCGTCACAATAATCCAAGCTGAAATATTCTGGTCACATCAAGCGCCATGGCAGACTGGAAAAAAATTATAGCAGAAGGCATGATACCAGTAAGTACGGGCAGAGGCCGACCATCTGAAGATGGGGACATGATATAAGTGACTCCTTGAATATGAAAGTACACGAGGCGGCAAAGCTGGCAAGAGACTGAGTTTCCTTCAGGTAGACCATGATGAGAGTGACGTACAAACAGGCAACAAATGACGGACTTTGTGATGTCCTGTAAAGGAAATCATCAATCAGCAGGTTATTTACAGAACCTCGCTCACATCATGACATGAAGGTCTCTCTTTCTCTAACCAATTCTCCAGCCCTATGTGCTTTCATAGCCAATGCATCTTCAATGTCTTGTATCCACATTCACAGAGATCCACCTCTGCCTAGAAACTATATCCGCCATCACTGTCCTCTCCAGGCCATGGTAATGTTTAACACGGATATACTCAGATTTACAACTAACTTAATCCAGCAATTATTCTTACCTGTCTGAATGTGTACTTAAACAACAAAGATAAGAATTCCAGCACAGGAAACTGAGGGTTTGCTTCAAACCGACGCAGGTGTACACTGACAAACAGTCGCAGGAAGTCAGTGAACTTGTCTACATAGCTGTAAATAAACAAACAATTTTATCAAAGCAATGTTTACCTGTTATTTATTTGAACAAAAACACAAACAACAGATCGCACAACTTATTGTCTGTCATATTTTGTCAGGAGCATACTAAAGCAGCACATATCGATTCCTGTATATTATGACCAATGGCAGAGTCCCTAAGTTTTCTTGAAATGGTCACGATCATTCTCTTCTGTCCAGATTTATGTAAACAAAAAGACTTGGTGGTGAACCTGCACTTACCCTGGTAAAACAGGCAGTCATCTTTGAGAGCTGTTAATTTTCTATTTTAGTTATAAGATATTCATTTACTTGCTTGATTTGATTTAACTGATACTGTACTAGGCATCAGATGAGATACAGCAAAACATGCCAGGCAATAAATTGTGCAATCTACTGTTTGTGGCTTCTTTGTTCGAGTAAACAACTGGAACTGCTGTAACATTCATTAACAGAAGTTATGTCCACTAATCAAACTAAATGTCAACAAACAACTGTAATCAATCAAGAATAAATTGAAAATGTCACAAAGTAACATCCTTTGGCCTTCTCAATTAAAAGCACGGGGAGAATGAAAAGAAAAAGAAGGATATATTGTGTTGAAAGCACAGATACATCATCATCATGTGTCTTGCCAACTGCATGGGTAATCATGCCTCTTCCCAATCTGCAATCTTCAACAGCACGTATCATATCACGTGTTGACACCCATGCATGACAAAAGGATATCAAGCATCATCTTATGATGTCTTCCTGTGTCTTCTTTTCCAGAGATATTTCCACTGGTCACAACATGTTGCAATTTCCTTCTTCTCATAACATGATAAAAAAAATGATGACCCTTTCTAATGTTTATGATAAGCTGTCTTGGAGCCCTCACCTCTTTCAAAACATCTGGATTACTCTTTTTTTTGCTGTCGAAGGAAGGCTAAAAAAATGTCTGTAAAACTACATCTCCGAGGGTACAAGATATTCCTTTGGCTTGTTTATTAATGCAGGTACTGTAGCCTAGCTACAGCACAACATGTTAACCACACTTGTAAGTGTCATGAAATGGCAGTGGTGCACCATGGAAAGCCACTCTATCATGTGGAATATAGCTCGGCCCAACACAAGCGCACATAACTATCCGCAGTGCGTGTAAGCAAATGATGTCATAGTATTCACGCAAGTGCAGTACGCAGGAAAAATCAGACTAGCGTCTATGAAATGACACAATAATAACATCATAATCACGGACCGGTGTTTTAGGCTTGGTACCAATGCACATACCGACGGGGAATTCCCGGGTGCAGCAAACTAGAGAGAACACAGGAATGCCGTCACACTCTATGACATGATGATGATGTGAGCACCTAGACCCGAGTCAGAAACGTCATGCGCACCAGTAGATCTCATTTCCGGAAAAACCTCACTTCCGCCTTTCCTACTCGTCAGCCGTGAGCAGAATTAGTAATTTCGGAGATTTGTAGTCATTAACATCAGGCACAATCTCGCGAGTTTTAAGGTTGTTTTACATTCAGACAAGGGACCCGGCTGTGCCACGTCATACCTACAAGTGGAAGGAAGATCTACAATTGTGTAGTGTAAGCCACTAGATGGCAAGTTGTTTTCTATAACTAGTCCAGGAGAGACTATATAAACTTTGGTTATCCTCCAACAAATGGTCGGTAAAGATGGTGGCCAGAAAATATCCTTTCGAGCCACAGTCACGTGACTTAATTTGGGGTTCTCTGGCGGCTTTCTGGCGACTACCGCCACTGTCACGTGTCCCCCGCGCGGCGTGGACTGGGGCTAAACTAGATGGCTAGGACCCACGAGCAGCAGCGTGCGTAATTAAGTCACGTGACTGTGGTTCGAAAGGATATTTTGCGGCTGCCATCTTTACCAACCGTTAGTCAGAGGATAGCCTAAACTCTTTTTCATAACCCCACACTAAGTGGAATTTTAAAAGGCCTTGGGCCTATATTTTATGTTTTGGCACCCAAGCCTGAAATATATTTCCCAATCGCGAGGAGCAACAAGACGGCAGACTGGATCACCGAAGACTGTCATCTACCAGACACATCAGGTGACTGTTGCCCCACGAGCCTGAATCTGCCTACGCCAACTAACTTCTCACCGAGGAAGAAAACTTGTATTATTTTTTTGCCAATCACATAGTAGCATAGCAATTATTACATTGTATGAAGTAACTGTTTACCCACCTCATCTAGTCTTGTTTACTACGGTGAGAGTGGGCTTGGAGAGAAACAGTTTGAAAGATACCTTTCTCATCCTTTCATTACTTATCTTTCTGGGAGCTCAAGTATCTACTGATAGGAGTGTGTGTGACAGAATAACTAGACTAGCCTGAGCTTTCTACATCCAGAGCTAGTCTTACCTTCCTGACTCCTGTCACATGACCACGTCACAATCTCTTATACACTAAGCCACCCCCCTAGTTTCATAACCTTCACGAGCCAAAATTTATTGAGACTGCGGACGCTATCATGAGTAGGGAAGTCTAACTACTGTAGACCTCTCTTATATCTGCATATCGCCACAGTAAGGGTAAACCCAGAAGAACTGAAACATAAAAAGGAAACAAAGCAAGGCTCGATTACACAACTTACACCTCATCCAGCTCTTCTAGCCTGTTCCCAGATGCGCTGGTGTTGCTCTCTTTGGTAATCTTCTGCAGTAAATTGAATGTCTGTTGAAACATCTGCAGCAGAAAATCCTCAAACTCCTGGGGCACACAGTTCTTGCTGAGTATTTCATTAATGCAGTTCATAGCCAGCACACCTACGATAATGAGACACAAGAACAGATTATATCCATCACACTGCGAACACCATATGTGACTTACATCAAGAGTCAGAAAATAAAGTGGTCTGAGCATCTAGTGAGAATGCAGTCAGACCAAACTGTACCTGAAACCTACGTCTAGGTGTAGGGTAAGAAAAAGACCAAAAAAGATAAGGATGGATAGTGCAGCTGAATCTTGCAAAAAGAGAACTAATTCATCACTCAAGCCACCCGCAAAGCACAAAACAAATACTGAATACATGACACACGGCTTCAACCCAGTAATAGTTTGACAACAAAAGAAAAAGATACTGAGGGCACTGAACCATTATATAATACTAGAAATCTAAAAGCAGAAAACAAAATTTTAAAGGTAGCATTCATAAATTCTTCTTATTGCTGTGTGGTGTTGGTAGTCATGTTATCCACAGCTTCTGCCTTGTGGTCTGGCTACTTCTGAGACAGATGTTCTTCAATATCATAAGGCTAAACTGTCCAGCCTCTTATTTCTTGGTCTCTCTCTCTGTCTTTCTTTCCCTCCTGTCTTCTTCACCATAAAACAGAATCCAGTCCCCTTTCTCACAGTGTGCTCGAAGAATGCAGACATACATCATCATTTTTCTTCGTAAGTTAGTTTCTTTCAAGACATTTTTATCTGTCCATGAAGATATCATCTTTTAAACAAAAACCCTATCTCTGTGGCTTTTACATGCATTTTCATTAACCAGCTGACTGTCAGTTATTTACTACCTTACATCAAGACTGGCTCTGTATATCTAAGTAAACAAAACAGTACAGCAGCATCTTTTTCTTGGTTTTCCTATCCTTCTTAAAAGGGCAGCTGTGGTTTACAGATAGGCTGCAACATCTGCACTTTTTGATCCAACCCATCCGCAAATCGTCTTTTATGACATGTTTGTTAAGTTGGCAGTGGGTCTATTCCCCTCCCACCCCAATGGGTCCTAGAAACCCACATAACGATTCCCCTCTTTAACCTCCCCCCCCCACCCCCCAAAGATCTTGATACATAAAATCATGAACAATCTTTATCTACCCTTACAGAGATGGCACATGATGATTATGATAAACAAGGCAGTTTTATTTTTTTTAAACACCAAATACAAACCTAATTTATGGGTACTGCTGCTAAATGCACCATTCCTGGTAGTGCTTGGACTAGAATACTTGACATCCGGTCGGGACTGGCAGCCAAATGCAGCAAAATGAAAAATTGTGGACAGAAGTTGAGGCCTGATGACTGTGGACAATGGCACCCAGCACAAGTAGTGAGCCAGGCAGTTCAGCCCAGCCCAGCATAACTGTTGTGAGGCAGGATCCAGGGGAGGCAGGGCCTCCATCTGTGGGCCTCTGCTCGGACTTCCCAGAAGAAGGGAAACAAAGTTGGCTGGAAGAAGAAACAAACTTCCAACTGAAAATTGATCAATGATATTAAAATGGTCGGTTTTGAAAACACTTCCAACTGAAAATTGATCAATGATATTAAAATGGTCGGTTTTGAAAACACTTCCAACTGAAAACTGATCGATGATATTAAAATGGTAGGTTTTGAAAACACTTCCAACTGAAAACTGATCGATGATATTAAAATGGTAGGTTTTGAAAACACTTCCAACTGAAAACTGATCAACGATATTAAAATGGTAGGTTTTGAAAATACTTGCAACTGAAAACTGATCGATGATATTAAAATGGTAGGTTTTGAAAATACTTGCAACTGAAAACTAATCGATCATATTAAAATGGTAGGTTTTGAAAACACTTCCAACTGAAAACTGATCGATCATATTAAAATGGTAGGTTTGAAAACACTTCCAACTGAAAACTGATCGATGATATTAAAATGGCAGGTTTCAAAAACAATTCCAACAGAATATTGATGGACGATATTAAAATTATAAATGTCAACACTTGGGCGGGAAAAAGGTGGTCGAAAAAAAAAAGAAGAATGCAACAGCAGTAACAACAGCAAGAAGAGAAACTCAGAACAGAATGAAAACTCAGTCACTAATTACTTGGATGTCTCCCTCAGTATCTACAGGTGACACCAGTAATGTGTTTGTGCACTGTTCTTTAGTGGCTGCTGTTGTAAAGACACTGGCACAAGCTGGAACTTATGCTGAACAATGTACAGTGTGACATCAGTAAAAGAAAACGCTCAGTTTATTTAAAAGAGAATCGCGCAACTAGAAAAAAAAAAGACTGATGACTATAACCATGGATATATCTGTGACCATTTCTGTTGTGAAGTATTCTGCTTTGTGCAGTGATGTCTATGCATCTTACTCTGCCATCTCTCAACCATAAGCAGGTCCTGCCACATCTACTCAACGTGCAATGTGCTGACAGGTCAACATATTTTTGTCACCAAACAACCCCTACAGTCGCCCACAAAGTGCTTTTGTCTGGCTTTATCCCTTATTTGCTTCCCGTTCTTACACTATGTTTAATACTTCAGATTCACAATCCTCTCTTGTTTACTCTATAAACAACACATAAGTAAGCATTATTTGATCTGCAGTATTTTTGCTTAGTACATTATTTAAAGTATAATATCTCTGTTTGTATTATGTGACTACAGTATTTAAAGTATTCTGTGTTTTTTGTGTGTATTTAAACTACTTTTTTCTAACACATTCTTGGCCTTCTTTGTCTTTTTCTTCTTGTGTGTCTTCATTTCCTCTTGTACCAGGTATCGAGGAAGGTGCACAGTTCTGGTTCTTGCTGTTCTGGCCACCTTGACCATGGACATATCATGTTTTGTTATCTTTCCATGTAGTTTTTGGTCTACCTCTTCCTGTATGTCCCTCTTCTCTTTTGGTGCGTATTAACTACCTGATTACAGCATACTTGAAAGGAATGAACTAAAAGACACTGGATTAAGCTACTGGGGAGATAAAACTTGATAATAATCAGTTCGATTTTTGTGCTAGGGATTGTGGGTGAAGGGAAAATAAACAAGCCATTCTCTGACATCTCATTTCCATGGTCACTAATTTTTTTTTCTGGTTTGTTGAGAGTGACCATGTCTGGCACTGGTAAAACAGAGTGGGAATGAATATGCTTTGTATGATATGTTTGGGACTGCCTTAGGAGGCAGAGGGTATGAAGTATTGGTGTTGTGGGTGGTGGTTTACCCCCTTTCCTAATCCTAGGTCAAAATGTATGAAAGGAACGTCCATTGCAGAGTCAGCCTCTTGACCTAGCAGAACCTCTCTTACCCCAAGACCACTATGTAATGTGAAGAGCCAGATCCTTTTCGAGGTAGTCCTGGTAACTGGGGGTGTGAATCCCCAGGCAAAACACAATCGATCTAGAAGAGCAAACTCAATAATAAATGTTATGCACCACACTGTACTGCCCTCTGAGGGAGGGAAGGAGCCAGTGGGGTGCTAACGAGTCTTAGGAGTGGAAACAAGTACGCTTCCCCCCCTGAATACCGGAAACTATCGTGAAGGTACATGGACTCAGGATCCAGTTGCCCCAACTAATCATGCTTAGAGCCATGTAGAACTCAACAAAACCAGCAGGAAACCTGGTGGTGGAGAGTTGAGTTGAGTCAAGAATTGACATCACTGCTTTCGGGACATTCCCATGTGTGCTCCGTCCTCATCTTCAGCAGCCAGCGCAGAGTTCCAATACTGATGGTACTAGGCGCAATCTGGTTATATGCCCGTCTTGCCTTTCCTCTGAGTGTAGTGAGCGAGCCAGACCATCTGGTTAAACCCAGGTGCCTCACTCTCTCCAGGTCATAATAACTAGTGGCGGAAAATGAGCACACTGTGAACCCCACCGTAGCTATGTGTCAAAGGGAAAGGCAGAAACAAAACCCATATTTCCTTTAGAACAGGTACAGCGCACTTCTGGCTGCTACCAGGAGAGGTAGGCAATCCATAGACACCCTAGCACCACAATGTATGATATGTTTGTGCTGATTCAGATTATCTTTTATTGTAAAAGAACAACAACAATTAATTACAAGACGGCATATTTTACAAGCATGGCTTACCACTGGCTATAGGCGATGTTGAAAACAACTGAGCAGATCCCTGGCGTGTGGACCTGGAGCTACCATCTCCTGATGTTGGAGATGGGGGAGGTGTGGCCGCCACTAAGTGCCGATGTTTCTCTAACATAGACTCAAGAATGTCTGTAAAAAAAAAAAAAAATCAAATACATGTAATTAACTTAAACACATACTACTGCTGACTCTCTTTAATTACAGATAATAGAACACAGAATTCTCAGAGTCTCTCAGTGGCTATGAAGACGAAGACCAATAGTGAAAGGACTTTTTCCAGACCTTCAGGAATATTATGCACATAGGACTAGACTTTTCTTTTATAGATCAATCGGCTCCCAGTGCATGATGTTGTCAGCATCATGCCAGCGCCTTACTTCCCAGGACTCACTTAAGGCTCGGTCAACCTTGGAGCTAGTGTCATGTTTTGAAAAAGTCGAGAAGCGTTCAGATTCGAATTCACGACCTTCTGATCCATGAGCAAGTGTCTAGCCGCTACAATCACATGGCCCCCAGGAAGACCAACTGTCAAATATTAAAAGTTATAGCTAGTTGCACATCTTTTGGGGGACTTGGCAAACCAGCACTGGCATTTATTGGCTGTTGAGTGGCTTTTCTGGATCAGTTTACAGTTAAAAGTTTGTAATTCTTTTTTTTAAGTCAAATACTTTCTTCTTCTTCACTTCCTCTTTCACCACTTCGGGTGTCAAGGGAGATATAAGGCTCTGCTTCTTGCTCTTTTGCCTGCCTCGGCCACAGATATACTGCACTCTTGTAGAGTTTCTCTGATGTTATCTCTCCACTGTGTTTTTGGTCTACATCATGCTCTATGTCCCTCTCCTCTTTTGATGTATGCCTTGTATGGTAGGGTGTTGCAAGACATTCTCACTGAGAATTTTATTTGCTGTCTTCATATTTATTTTAGTATTGGCTCTGTGCTGACATTTCCTCTTATGACTGCATTCCTGATTTTATCTTCTCGTGTTACTCTTGCAGCCTTTCTCAGACATCTCATGCCCACAGTTACTTGTTTTCTGTTACAGTTTGTTACGAGTGATCATTTCTAGTACTGGAAGCCCTGGGCTGGGATGAATATGGTTTGCTGAAGACATTTCTTTATGCTGACTAGGACTATTAGGGCTAGCTGTCCCAATACCTAGTTTGCCGTACACACCCAATTTGCCATACTCTACTTCTTCTGTCTTACGGCACCCAATTTGCCATACTCAACTTCTTCTGCCTTCTATCCCCCAGCAGAGAACAGGCCCTCAACCAACTCATGTCCAGGCGTTCTATTCTTTGCTATTGCATGCAGCTCCCCCCATGTCATCCCCATCTTTTTAACATCACTCTCTAGCCCCTTTCTCCATGTGTTTTAGTCTCCCTTACTTCTTTGCCCCTGTGGGTTCCAGTGCAAATACATTTTAGTTATACTGTTCTCAGGTTTTCACAATGTGTTCTATCCAATGCCATCGCCTTTTCTTCACCTTCTGGTCCACTGGAACTTGTTTAGTTCTCTCCAAAGTTCAACATTAGTGATTATAGTGTACCGTTTAATTCCCTCTTTTCCACAGAGTGGATTTTTATACCTAACCATCATTCCCAGTCTTAAATGGGTAATAGGAAATGTCCTGGGAAATAAAGACAGTAGGTATGAACCATGCTGTGTAAATATTTAATTTACGTTAGATATTTTAGTAATACTTGCAACTTTGTTAGAAGTTATGAGACATGGATAGCAAACGAAAACAGCAGTACCTCGTAATTTTTCTACCCCACTTTTTAAGCTGAGATTTTTTTTAAAAATCTGTGCAGCTCTGCAATGAAGCTTGGCTACAGTGTGCCCTGCTGTCTTTGAGAATACTGTTCGGTAAGGCCCCAGGAACTTCCACTGTCTGTTCTCATATGATTCTCCAAGACCATGCAAACAATTTTTTAAAAACTGTCCGCCGCAGGAAACAAACACTTGCGCTCAAGGATTAATTCTAACTCACTTATCAATACTTACTATTAAGAATACTAAGAATAGCTGGAACCTGCTGTAGCAATAAACGATGAAGTTCATCCTTTCTGGCCATGCTGAGGTCATCTCTTGGAGCTGCTAGCTCTTCCGAAGCCGTCTGAAGTAGAATAACCCCAAGCAAGGCAGTATCTGGCTGCTGAGCTAACTAATAAAAAAACACCTAGTTAGAATATGGGAAATACAAATGTGATAACAAAAAACAAACAAAACATTATTTAGTAGTAATAAAATAATTCATAACTGTCATTAAATATTACATAAAAATTGAGAATATTTACATAAATAGGATACTAGAAACAAAATAACTACCTGTGAAATGTGCTGTTTCCATAAGGTCCTAACAACAAGAAGGGTCAGGGTTAAGAATACTAGTATTACAAAGAATCTAGTATCCAAGAAAGGTGGCTGGATACACGCACCAGATTTTCTCCACAAGAATCGCTTCATCGCCTCTCTATTATATTCAGACTAAGGACTGGGCACAACAGACTTCGTCAACATATGTTCAAATTTTTCGGTGTACATGTCCCTGCAGCGTGGCACCCGAAAATGTTGAGCATGTGCTCCAACACTGTCAACTGTCTGTTCCAACCATAATGAAGACAAAACTTTATGGTACATAAGAGGATATGGACTGCACGATAGCTTTCATAAATCTACCGGCCTCCTGATGTAAGTTTTCTGACAGAAGGATCGAAGAAGAAGAAGAGGACAAAGAAAATTGAATAAGACCATGTCTGAGTTATATTGACAGAAAAATAATAATATGGTTCGGCTATCAAGGGAGAATGCAGCCAGACCAAACTGCATATGAGATTTTTTTAAACATAACATCTGGAAGGAGTGTGGAGAAAGACCAAGATAATGATGGATAGATGGTGTAGTTGAAACCTACAAAAAAAAAAGATGAACACATCCATCCACTAAGCTACCTGAGAAGTGCAAGACAAATACAGAAAACCACAACACTGGGCTACAAGCTGGCATCAGTGAGACAGCAAAAGAACAAGATTTCTTCTTCTTCCTTGCATTCACTAACTGTAAACTCTCATGGAAAGTTCCTGTTGTTTCTCCACCTACAGACTTTAGTCTTGTTCCAGAACCTTAGTGTTACGTGCACATCCATTTTACAAATCTGACTTATTTGTATGCAGAATGTTGGTTCCTTGCTTTCCATGCAGATGCATTTCATTTTTGAAGGAAGAACCAAATTAGTTGACTCTTTTGACACGCTTATTGTGGAGGCAATGTGTTTATTCTTGCATTCCCCCACAATGGAACCCAGGAACCCACACTAAGAATTTAGTAGCAATAACATAATTCATAACACTTGTAATTGAAATTAACATGGAGAATATAATAATTACATAAATAATAAAACTGTAAACTGTCTTTACTGCCTGTATTTACCATTTAAAGGGTGGTGTGGACACTAAAGGGGGGAGGGGTAGTGCAATCGCAACAGACTGTGAAGGTTAGAACTGTTATTTTTTGCCATTACAGACCAAAAAAAACTTCACCATCTTACTGAGGATTTGAACATGGATTTCTTGTTCTGCCCCATAGAGTTAAACAGGGAAGATAATGATAATAATTAAAAGAAAAAAAAAAAAAAACACAAGTGGCTTCAACCTTTTTAGTCCTAGAAGATGAGGCTCAAAGTAAACAGCATCAAATGCATTCCTTGTAAAGAGAAAACAAACATGGTGCTACAGGCTGAAATATCTAGTCACGAGTACTTTGCTTTACTCTATGAGGGTGAAACCAGCAGTGATTCATTCTTCTTCTTAGCATTCACCAGCTGTGGACTCCAGGGGAAAGTTCTGGTTATTTGTCCACCTCTAGACTTCAGTCTTTTCCAGAATTTGAAATTTTGCCTGCCATCTGTTCTGTAGAACCTGAATGTTGTGTGCACATTCATTTTACAGACGTATCTGTGTGCAAACTGTTGGTTTCTTGTCTCTCAGGCAAATGGACTCTATTTTTGAAGGAAGCCCCCAGCTAGTCAACTCTTAGGACATGCTTGTAGTGGAGGCAGAGAGTTCACCCCCCCCCCCCACCAACAAAATGGGACCCCAGAACCCACTTAGGAAGAGCCATTAATGGTTGTGGTAGAAATACAACTTCTTCTTTTCTTAAAGTCCATGCTGTGTGGCATTGTAATCATCCAAAAAACATATTTTAAAGACTATCTATCAACATTTTGTTTTTCAGACCAACGTTGAGAATTCCTTAGACTGCCAGAGTAACTAAAGAGGACTGCTTGAAGAAAGACCAACAGCAGATCAATATATACAGCTATAAGGGAAGACAAGCACTGTTCGTTCATCACGTGATGAGGGGGGGGGGGGGGTTTGAAGAATAATGTGATGACTGGGAAGATCAATGGTAGAAGAGGGAGTGGCAGACAGAGAGAGATGATGACGGATGGACTGCAATGGCGGCATGGAGAGATATCATCGGTGGAACTGACCCAGAGGACATGGGATCGAGATGCATGAATGCCTAGGCCAGTCAGCAGCTCATGTGGTGATGATGATCTATCAACGAACGACCAGAGACTTTGGTAATTGTGTTTAAAGGCAGTATTTCATCAACAATTGAATTTCATTTATAAGTATCCCAGTGTGGGCTCCGGGGCCCTATTGTGGGGAAAACAAGAATAGACCCACTGCCTACCCAAAAGCATGTCGTAAGAGTCGACTAATTGAGAGCTTCCTTCGAAGTTGGATTGCATCTACCTGAGAGGCAAGGAACCAGCAGTCTGCATACAAATGAGTCAGATCTGTAAAACGGATGCACATGCAACACTCAGGTTCTGGAACACGGTTGCAGTCCAGAAGTGGATGAACAACCAGAACTTTTCGCCAGAGTTTACAGCTGGTGAACACGAAGAAGAAGAAGAAGAACTAAAAAGTCATTTACCTGTAGAATATTTGTGAAGAGATCAGGGTAAAAATGAGGCCAGTCATTGCGTCCTATGTCAATGATTAACTTGGCTAGCTTGTTGCGTATGTAGGATGGGACTGTAGAATGCTGGTTCATCAACAGCTGTGTTAGGCTGGTTCGAATCTCGATCTTATCACTACCAGCAATGTTCGTCCACTTGTGACTGATCAATGTCTGCAACAGGAAATTTGCAATAAGAGTATAAGTAAAAAGGTCAAGGTAATTCTATGGCAGACATAGCGACAAGAGTGAAAAGTAAGTGAATTTAGTTTACTATATAACACTGAGTGCTATAACATTAACGTACAAATGTGTATGTGAAAGAGAAAGCAAATGAGAGAACATGACAGAGAGCAAGTAAGAGAGGAAGGTTACAGGGCTGCATATGTTATTTCACGAGTTGTGTTTGCACGTGTGAGAGTGAGAGGCAGAGAGAAAGTGGGAGCACTTGATGGAATAGTAAAAACAGAGATAAAAACAAGATGCCAAAAGGCAACACTGAGAGGTATCAGCTGTTACATTCACTCTACAGAACAATTACAGATTATGATGGAAGTCTCCCTGTGTTGGTTTTGGGATCCGGCTGTGGGAGAGAGGGAGAAAAGATCAACTGCCCCTTAAAGAGCATGTCGTAAGATTAGAGAAATTTCCTTCGAAGTCAGAGTGCATCTGCCTGAGAGGGGAGAAACCAACAAGTAGATGAACAAACAGAACTTTCCACCAGAGTTTACAGCCGGTGAATGTAAAGAAGATGGAAGTCAAGTTAATGAACAGTATTCTTCTTTCAGCCTGTAGCCCTCAATGATAAATGTGGTCTCAACCAACAAGATTACATGAATAACATGTCAGATGAAATGCTTAAGAAATTGATGGGGATTCCAGAAAAGACTGCATGTGAAATGACATCAGAAATATAATAAGTCTAAAATTATTAATAAAAGATGCTGGTTTGGATAGACCACACCCTGAGAAAAAAAGTGTTAACAATATAACTAGAATGTCTTTCCAGTGAAACCCACAGTCAAAGGAATAAATGTAGACCAACACACAACAAACCTCTTAAAGAGAAGGGAACCAGATTGAAATGGAGTAAGCTATTAGGGAATGGTAAAAGTCAGGACACTTGGCATAAGTTTACTTGAAGGCCCATGCTTCAATGAAGGGGATAAAATGCAGAAGAAGAATATCATGAACTGATTTCATCGAGACGGCTGACATGCTAATTTGTCGGTTTACAGACAGTATGGTTGTTTGCGTTCACCAGCTGTAAACTTTGGCAGACATCCTGGCTCTTAGTCCATTCTGGACTTTCGCTTCATGCCAGGAGTTAGGTTTTGCATGTGAATCAATTTTACAGACCTGTGAAGTCTGCCCTGCCTATCAGGCAGATGCATTGCAACTTTGGAGGAAACTGCCACACTGTGATATCTGTGCCTTTCCGCCTAACACATCCAATTTTAGCAGTCTTAACCAAAAATATTCTGATGAGCAGCTAAAAGAAGACACATTAAAAACTATGCCCAGCTACTCAAAATAAACACAGATATGAGTTAGCTGGACAAAATTTCATTCTTGTTGACATTGAAACATTCAGTCTGCAAGTGCCTGGGTCCCATCCACAGTAAATTGAGCAGCATTTAGCGAAAGACAGCATCAGTTCTGTAATACTTTATTATTTGCATTTAGATTCCTAGATTGTTGAACCAGTGCTGCCAGTTGGCTTGGAATATGAATGGAATAAAATTAGGAATAACTTGGAGGCCAGGAGATGTGGTTTCTGAGATGCATGCTGCACATACCATAGAAAGCCAGAGTAACACACACTGATCATCTGGAAATGGCTAATAAAATTAGAAAACTATAGACAAATATAAGAAAGAAGCAGTTAGTGTTCTTCGATCGTGTAATGAGAAGAGAAGCACTAGAGAATAAAGACTGACCATAGAAGAAGCACAGGCAGGCCATGAGAGACAATGCCTGATGGCCTGAAATGATTGGCATGAGGGCATATCAATAGTGGAACTGATTCAGACTACTAAAGACATATGACGATGGTCATTTCCTAAACAGTACTCTTGTCTAGCCTCACTCTTTATGACTTGCTGTTCTTATAGTGTCACCATGGTTGCAGATTCACAGTCACCACTTAGTTTGCGCACATATCTTACTTCTCATACAGTAGCCAGTATATAAGTCTGATCCACTGCTCATCCTCCTTTCACAGAAGTCCTATATACACGCCTATCAGATCGTTAATTTCCTCATACGCCTGCATGCTCTGGCACTAAAATTAAACTGATCGCCTCAAACTCAACCCCTGTCTTCGAGCCCAGCCCATGTCAAATTTCTTAAGCATATTCATTGAGTCACTGAGACAGCATGCCTGAATGAAGTACAGATATGAGACCACCAATGCAACACATATGGCCTTAAATGCAAGCTTAGAGTCTCACCATAAATGAGGATTAGGAGAAAAGACTTCATTAGCATGAGTCTGGACAATAGACAATAGAAAGATAATCAGTCTAACGTGGTGTAGAAGAAAATACTCATCAGTGTGGTCATCAAAGTCCCAGACCTGCGGGATGCTCCCTGCTGATGTCCGGTGGGTGCATCCTGTGACGAATGGGAAGCTCAATATATAGATGTAAGGTTGCACAGTCGTGCAGGCCGTGACAATTCTTTGGGCGAGCCTAGGACCAGAGAATCACCTGTCGGCTCTGCATTTATGAAAACCTCCTCGGATGGTAGGTAATGTCCATGATCTACTTATCATTTAACTTGAGCACTTTCTGAGCACCGACTAGTCTAAACATGGTTGCTCTGGATGAGGTTTCCAGGGGCAACACTGGGGAATAAGGGAACAAAGAGAACAAAACACAAATTAGGCTAGGTCATGCCCCATGAAACTTCTTCTTGTTCACCAGCTGTAAACTCTGGCAGAGAGTTCTGGTTGTTCATCCACTTTTGGACTACAGTCCTGTTCCATAACCTGAGTGTTGCATGTGCATCTGTTTTACAGATCCGACTTATTTGTATGCAGACTGCTTGTTCCTTGCCTCTCAGGCAGATGTGCTCCGACTTCAAAGGAAGCTCCCAATTAGTCTAATCTTACAACATGCTTTTGGGTAGGCAGTGGGTCAATTCTTTTTTCCCCCTATAATAGGGCCCCGGAACCCACACAGGGACCCATGAAACTATCCGGGAAGTTAACCTGGTCAACAAATGCTCGATAAAGTTGGATGTATTGGCCTAAAGGTGAAAATATCGCAGCTTTGCTGTAAACAATCACAACACAATTACGTCATTCAGATGAATGAAAAGAAGAAGAGAAGAAAGATCATCATAATAAGCGACAATAAAAAATACAGGTACAATGAGGTAGAAATGTCCACAGCAATGCTTACCTCTAAAACATTCAAACAGAACATGAGCACGTATTCATTTTGAGTGCTAGCCATAAAATAAAGGCACATTTCCCAGGCATTTGACATCTGTGTGAAGTTGGCCAAGATCGACTCTATTTTCAAAAGACAAAGAAATTATCCTAAATAAATAATATTCATAGAGGTAACATAAGACTTAAAGTTAAAGAGGGCTGGTAGAAATGAAAAGAGAGGGATCGACAGGCATGGCAGAATAATAAAAATTTTAAAACATCTGCCTCTCTGGCTTGGGTGTTGTCAGTGCATGAGATTACCAGTCTGATACCAGCTGGGGGTGATTTGTCAGCAGACCGCTTTGCACTGATGGAAGAATATCTAAATAAAAAAATGTTTGGCGGTGCACAAGACAAAAGGTCATGGACATACAAGATTACTAACAGGAGGTGGCATGGACTATAAGAATAAAATATAAAACATTTAACAATATTTGTCTTTAAAGTCCCAATGTGGGTTCCAGGGACCCCATTGTTGGGGGGGGGGGGGGGGGGAATGGCTTCGCTGTCCCCCCAACAAGTATAATTAGGGGTGTTTCTTTTAAGCTGGAGTGCATAAAGCCTAAGAGGCAAGAAACCAACAGTCTGTATTAAAACAGATGTGTGCATAAAACTCAAGCTATGGAACAAGACTGAAGTCCAGAAATTGACCATTCAGTGCAGTATTATTAATAATAGTATGTTCCTATATTAGGATTAGACCCCACACCCACTCTCTGCCTAGAAAATGTGGCAGGATGAAGAATCTTTTCTGTACTGTGCAATGATTGGAAGAACTATAAAACTGTAACATTTAAAATCATCACCATCATGCCACAAGTCCTTTGCAAAACATCATGCTGATCTCAGAAAGACTTCAGTTCCTTTCCAGTTCCCCTGCATTATGCAATTTTTCATCCAAGATGTCTCCAATCTCCTGTGTCCAGTTCTACTCTGGCTGACCCCCACTTCTTCTTCCAAATACCATGCTGATAATTTTAAACCAGTGCAATATTTAATTAGGATCAAATGTTTCAGCTGGAGACATGACACTATTTATGAACCATTTCTCTTCAACTTTTAGATATCCTCCAAAAATACATTAAAAACATTAAAACCTAGAAGTGCAAGGAGAGAGCCCAAAGACAATTTACCACAAATATAACAGAGACAGTCATCACTTTTTTCTTGTTAGGGTCACGTGAAGAGGGAAACTGGAAGATTAACCATTGGAAAGGTTTGTGGAAAGAGACAGAAGAGGACAAAGGGAGACAATTCTTGACAACCTTTTGACAGAGCGTGGAGAAGTGTCAGCACATGAACTTATAGATGTTGTTGGAGAATGCAGGCTATGGAGAGGCATGATCACCCTACGACAGTCAGCAACGCACATGACGATGATGAACAATGCAAATGAAAGTCCTGACTACGTTGGGTATTTTGCTTAGGTTAATTACAAAACAAAAACAACAAAAATGAAATTAAACAAGAGAAATGAAATGTCTGCGACGAATCCTAAATGTAACTAGAAGAGACAGGAACAGAAAGGACGATATCAGGAAAGAAGTTGGGACAGAACCAGTACTAAATACACCAAGAGACAACAAATCAAATGATCTGGACATGTAAACAGATTACCACCAGATGGTGCACTGCAGAAAGCCCTGTCACTTAGACATAATGGAAACAGAGCTAGAATGTGGACAGATTGGCTGGATCTGCACCACTGGGTGGTGATTTGATACATGACAAGGCAGATGTGGTCAAGGCCCTTTAGGAACAAGCAACAGAATCAGTAGAAACAGAAGATTATTATGGCCTGGAATGAGGCACCTGGGTGTAACCAGAGGGTCTGGCCGGCTCACTACACTCATAGGAAAGGCAAGACGGTCATATAACCAGATTTTGACAGGTAGCATCAGTATTGGAACTCTGCGCTGGCTGCTAAAGATGAAGACGCATCATGCATGGGAATGCCCCAAGTGATGTGATGTCAATTCTTGACTCAACTCTACTCAACTCAAGAGCTAGAGGGTGATTATGCGAGCGATGAACTGATGAAGTATCTGAGGCCATAAATACCAGCATCTATGCAGCACACACCAAGGCTCACATCTGATGCCTCTTTACAAACCTGATGCCGAAAGGCACAACAGGACAAGAGACAAAGACAAAGAAGAATAAGAAGAAGAAGAGAATAGATGTAGCCAATATTAAAAACAGCATGATGTTCCCAATGAAGAAATGCCTTACCAATTTCTCTTTTTCGATCATTGTTTGTGGCTGCAGCAAAGAATTCACTCATCAAATTTTCAAGAGCTCTGAGGGACTCATCAATGTCTCCCTAATTTAGAATGCAAAAGATAACAAACTTTCAATATGATAACACATTCAAACTTAAAAATTGTATCACTTTTACTAAGGCACACATCTGTAAACAACAAACCTGATTCATACTAAATATTTAAAAACAAAAAATCAAAAGCAGTTTCTGCTGCAGACCACTTTATCTATCATTTTACAACTCCTGAAGATCTGAAATCAAGATGGTATCATTTGCATTCTTCTTTGTCTTTTTCTCTTCTTCTTCTGTGATTTAGCAGACAGTGCAAGAGAACTCTGAGAGTTTGATTCCATTGAGAATTAGCAGAGGATTTAGTAGGCAATTTTTAATGTGCTGGGGAGAGAAAGGCAGATGTTTAATCAGGCTACAACTGACATGTGAGAAGGGAAACTGAGAAAGGGGACAGAGCATGTGTGTAAATGGCTTATGACATCAATTCTCGATTCATTTATTCTTCTTATGTCTTGCCCCAAGTGTGGCATAAGCTCTCAATCAGTCCATACTTCGCTCTCTGCTTCTTTGCATTTATTGTCAATGTATGTTATAAAAAGCAGGGGAGATAGCACACATCCCTGTCTTACTCCTGAATTAACTTCAAAAAGTTGCATGTACCTGCTTTTGTTCGTTTGCAGCTTCTACTCGATGTACATAATAAATAATCAAAGCATCAAAAAAAATTTTTTTCAAACTAATCTGGCAATATCAGAACTAAGATACAGAGCATATTATTATTTATTTGTAAATAACAGAATCAATGGTATAATTGTTCTTAGCCTTCAACAGCTGTAAACTCTTGTGGAAAGTTCTGGATGTTTGTCCCCTTCCACACAGTAGCCTTGTTCCAGAACTGGATTTTTGGGTGCTTATCAGTTTTATATTTTACAGATCTGGTTTATCTGTAGGCAGACTGTTGGTTCCTTGCTTCTCAGGCAGATGTACTTCGACTTCAAATGAAACACCCACCACATCCCTTTTAACTTGTAGTAGATTCTCAGTCACTTGGCTCTCACAAAGAACAGTTCAAATGTATGGATGTCTGCCTAACTTACGTGATTTTTTCGTGACTGTTGAGTTCTGAGTATGTGAATTTTAATATTATATCTAATCTAGCCTAAATTTTATTTAGTAACATTTGTGTGGACAACTAAACAAATAGACAAGTAGTAACTACTGTAGTTAACCAATTATTGAGTATTTATTATTGGGCTCTACTGTCAAATTTGGCCGGTAAGCTGGACTGCTTCGGCCGGCTTAGCGGGGCTTAGTGGGAGTTATGTTCCCGTGGCCGCACTCAAAACAACGAGCGGAAAAAGAAGTCACGAATCAAATCACAACAGCAAAATGGCAGTTAGACAGAGAGCTCCCACACACATAAGCAACAACATTCTTGCGACGCACGACTTAGTTGCCACGGACGTCGTAACTCCTGCAGATCTGCATGCTTTAATGTCTGTTAAGTATGCGTGGTTGCGGTGGCTAGCTGAGCATAGTCTTATAAGGAATATGCAACTGTGCAGTTCGTTGTGCGAAAACGAGATGCGGCGACATTGGAGAGGATCATAAAAGATCACGTACAGCCGGGAACGACCATCGTGACTGACGCTTGGCGAGGCTACAGCAACGTCGCAAACTTAAGGCATGGCATCTATCTGCACGAGGTAGTAGTCCACCAGACCAACTTCGTCGACGTCGCGCACAGTCACATACACACACAAACAATCAAGGGCCTGTGGATGTTGGTGAAACAATCAATTCGCCAGCGACTGGGCACCAGCCGCCCGCTATTGGCGTCATATTTGACAGAGTTTCAGTGGCGCCACTTCCAGTGGCGCCACTTCCACAAACGTCAGATTGTCGGCCACTATTTCGACCTCCTACGTGAAAATTTTAAAATCGAACCATACCCCTAAACCCTAACCCCTAAACCTACCCCTCATCTATCTTACGCAAACAACCAACCCTACACGCAACCGTAGGACGATGATAGACACCCTACACGCACCCGGATGATGATAGGTAAGTATGTCATTTGTTTCGTGACTTTTTCTGCGACTTGTTTTGAGTTGTTTTGAGTTTGGCCAAGGGACATAACTCCCACTAAGCCCCGCTAAGTCGGCCGATGCAGTCCAGCTTACCGGCCAAATTTGACAGGAGAGCCTATTATTGTTTATTGTTCTTCTCTATTTAAAATTAAATATAGATATGCAGTCAAGCATTATTTTGCTTGCTTGCTTGTTGTATCCCACCAGGACATCACACAAGCGATAAACACCCGGTGACACAAAGTGCCACCATGCAGATGAGGTGAGAGGATCACCTGTGGAGAGGTCCAAGAAACACCTTTCAGCCGTTATGGCCACAATTGTGGCTTAGCTATAGGGCCCCAGCAAAAGCCAGGGTGGGGCTTCAAATAACAAAAAAATTGCATCCACAAGAGGACACCTCGGAAATGTTAGGCATTATTTTAATAATTATTAATTATTAAATAATGTTGAATGATGTCAATTCGATGCCTACCTACCGCCTACTATTTTAATTTTACTCTTCACTTCAGTCAATTTTTCCGAGACCGAAAAAGTCGAAGAATAAATTAGTAACAGATGATAAACTCTGTACGACATGCAACTTACCATGATGGTAGTTTTCCTCAAATTAAGCGTAAATAAAATAAACACAAAAACAAAGTGGAATAACCATCCAAGTTAACATCTACAAGATTTGAATATCACAGAGAGGTTCAACACCCGTCATGATTGTAACTGCATTCTGGGACGGATCGGCAGTCACCTCCCTTGTTTGTGGCTGCAGCAAAAGCTGGCTTGGTTGAAACTGGTGGCTGCATAATAATGCCACTTCTTTAATGATTCAATGTCGTGGGGTTTCCACCCGTACAGGCAATTTTCTTGAGGCATCAGTTTTTTTTTCCCTAGCGCCTACGGTAACAAATATTATCAGGTGATTACCGACAATCGTTTTTTTTTTTTTTATTTGTGGTCAGGAAGCAAATTTACATGTCATTGAAGACTCGATAATTGACTGACTGACTTTCTACTCCACCAGGACATCACACAAGCGATAAACACCCGATGAAACAAAGTGCCACCATGCGGATGAGGATCGCCGTGGAGAGGTCCCAGAAACCGCGTTCAGACATTTTGCCATATTTATGGCCTGCCTATATTGCGGCTCCCGGCAAAAGCCAGGGTGGAGCTTCAAATAAAAAATTTCATCCTGAAAAGGACAATAGAGACATAATAATAAGACTCGATAGAGAGATAGGGGCCAAAGTACAGAAGGCAATTGCTGTCACCTACCAGTTAGCCCCACTGCTTAGACACCCAATTGTCTACCTTCCAGCAAAACATCACATGATTAATAGCATCTGAATCCCTATTTTATGTTATCAGTGCCAAACATGGACAATGAATAGGACACTCATCATCATCATGTAGCAGGTGCTTTGCAGAACATGGCTCTCATCACGGTCTGCCTGAAAGAAACTTGGTCTCTCGCCAGCTCTCCCGCCTATGGTAAATTCATACTCAACGAGTCATATCCTGTGCCCATCTTCGTGTTGGTCTTCCCCTGGTACCATGCCTTCTGCTATTATTTTTTCCAATCCGCTTTATATGACCAAAATATTTTAGCTTCCGAGACAGGATGCTGTTTATTAGCCAATCTTCCTTGATGTTCAGATCTTTCAAGATGTCAGTATTTCTCCTCTTTTTCGTCCAAGATGTTCTGAGAATCTTTCTATAGCATTTCAGCTCAAAAGCCCCTTTTCTCTTTCTTAAGAACTGGGAGATAGTCCACGACTCACACCCGCATGTTGCCACAAGGAAAATGCATGCTCTCAAAATTCAAATTTTGATCTCCAACCATAGACTTGAATAGGACACTAGAACAGAAAATTACATGTGAAATGCGCTGTCTCCGCAAGGTTACTGACAACACAAGAAGTTATAGGGTTACATTAGAGAGATAATCGGAATAAGACCATGTCTGGATTATATTGACAAACAAAAAATGAAATAATTCAGCTATTTAGTTAGAATGCAGCCAGACCAGACTGCTTATAAGATTTTTTTTTTTTAAACAGCAGAACATCTGGGAGGCAGACCAAGAAACGGATAAATGGTGAAGCAGAAACCCGCAAAAAGATGAACAAAGCCATCATCCAAGCCACCAAAGAAGCGCAAGACAAATACACAAAACAACGACACGGCTACAATCTGGTCTCAGTAAGAGGACAAACGAGGAAGAAGAAGGAGTGGTGAGCACCGGCACCCTTATTTCCCCAGAAACAAAACACGCCCTGTTCATTGTACATTATAAGTCGTTATCATAACCCAAAAGATTTGAATAGGAATATATGTATATATGTATATATGTATATATAAAGTAAAAGTAAATGACCCTCTTTAAAACTTAAAAGTTAAAGTTCGGTGCCGTCTCAACATTGGAGGTTGGCTACAGTGTATCACTGTTCCCTTTGGGAATATTACGTGGTGAGGCACCAATATCTTCCACAGTGCGACCGTCCGAAAACCACGAGAACATATTTTTACTCGTCCAAAGCAGGGAACGAACTGTAGTACACTAAGCAATTTAAAACTAATTCAAGGGAAACTTTTTGTCATTTTAAAGTCGGGTAAAGTCGTGAGATGTGAACTAGCGTCATTGCACACGGTTATAAACCATAAGGGCTCTGCCACCAGTACAGACAGCTGATAAGAAACTGTCCGCCTGTGTCACCGTCCACACGTAACTTCGTAGCTGCAGCGAAGTTCCTCCATTCACCCTAGAGTTCCAACTCAGGTACCCATTTCCTAGAGGCTGGGTGAACCCCGGGAACCGCCCGGTTTCAAACACCGACCGTGGCTGCAGCTAGTCGCAGCTGGATTTGAAAGCGAGCCTCCTATCGACTACATTAACGCGGCTCTCGTAATTTTAAAGCCCCTAAATGTAACCTAACAGTTGAACAGGGTTTCTGGGACTTG